GTGGGGACAGCAAAGGGGGAGAAAACGGATGGGGACAGCAAAGGGGGAGAAACGGAGGGGGGACAGCAAAGGGCAAGGAACGGAGAGGGGACAGCAAAGGGGGAGAAACGGATGGGGGACAGCAAAGGGGGAGTAATGGAGGGGGGGACAGCAAAGGGGGGAGAAACGGAGGGGGACAGCAAAGGGGGAGAAACGGAGGGGGGACAGCAAAAGGGGAGGAACGGAGGGGGACAGCAAAGGGCGAGGAACGGAGGGGGGACAGCAAAGGGGGAGAAACGGATGGGGGACAGCAAAGGGGGAGGAACGGAGGGGGGACAGCAAAGGGGAGGAACGGAGGGGGACAGCAAAGGGCGAGGAACGGGAGGGGGGACAGCAAAGGGGGAGGAACGGAGGGGGGACAGCAAAGGGGAGGAACGGAGGGGGGACAGCAAAGGGGAAGGAACGGAGGGGGGACAGCAAAGGGGAGAAACGGATGGGGGACAGCAAAGGGGGAGGAACCGAAGGGGGACAGCAAAGGGCGAGGAACGGAGGGGGACAGCAAAGGGGAGGAACGGAGGGGGACAGCAAAGGGCGAGGAACGGAGGGGACAGCAAAGGGGGAGGAACGGAGGGGGGACAGCAAAGGGGAGGAACGGGGGGGACAGCAAAGGGGGAGGAACAGAGGCGGGACAACAAAGGGGGAGAACGGATGGGGGACAGGAAAGGGGGAGAAACGGATGGGAGACAGCAAAGGGGGAGAAACGGATGGGGACAGCAAAGGGGGAGAAACGGAGGGGGACAGCATAAGGGGAGGAACGGAGGGGGGACAGCAAAGGGCGAGGAACGGAGGGGGACAGCAAAGGGCGAGAAACGGATGGGGGACAGCAAAAGGGGAGGAACGGAGGGGGGACAGCAAAGGGCGAGGAACGGAGGGGGGACAGCAAAGGGGGAGAAACGGATGGGGGACAGCAAAGGGGGAGGAACGGAGGGGGGACAGCAAAGGGGGAGGAACGGAGGGGGGGACAGCAAAGGGGGAGGAACGGAGGGGGGACAGCAAAGGGGGAGGAACGGTGGGGGGACAGCAAAGGGGGAGGAACGGAGGGGGGACAGCAAAGGGGGAGAAACGGATGGGGGACAGCAAAGGGGAGGAACCGAGGGGGAACAGCAAAGGGGGAGGAACCGAGGGGGGACAGCAAAGGGCGAGGAACGGAGGGGGACAGCAAAGGGGGGAACGGGGGGGACAGCGAAGGGGAGGAACGGAGGGGGACAGCAAAGGGGGAGGAACGGAGGGGGACAGCAAAGGGGAGGAACGGTGGGGGACAGCAAAGGGGGAGGAACGGAGGGGGACAGCAAAGGGGAGAAACGGATGGGGGACAGCAAAGGGGGAGGAACCGAGGGGAACAGCAAAGGGGGAGGAACCGAGGGGGGACAGCAAAGGGCGAGGAACGGAGGGGGGACAGCAAAGGGGAGGAACGGAGGGGGACAGCGAAGGGGGAGGAACGGTGGGGGACAGCAAAGGGGGAGGAACAGAGGGGGGACAACAAAGGGGGTGAAACGGATGGGGACAGGAAAGGGGGAGAAACGGATAGGGGACAGCAAAGGGGAGAAACGGATGGGGGACAGCAAAGGGGAGAAACGGAGGGGGGACAGCATAAGGGGAGGAACGGAGGGGGGACAGCAAAGGGCGAGGAACGGAGGGGGGACAGCAAAGGGGGAGGAACGGAGGGGGGACAGCAAAGGGCGACGAACGGAGGGAGGACAGCAAAGGGGGAGAAACGGATGGGGGACAGCAAAGGGCGAGGAACGGATGGGGGACAGCAAAGGGGGAGGAACGGAGGGGGGACAGCAAAGGGGGAGGAACGGAGGGGGACAGCAAAGGGGAGGAACGGGCGGGGACAGCAAAGGGGGAGGAACGGAGGGGGGACAGCAAAGGGGGAGGAACGGTGGGGGAACAGCAAAGGGGGAGGAACGGAGGAAGGACAGCAAAGGGGGAGGAACGGAGGGGGAACAGCAAAGGGGGAGGAACGAGGGGGACGGCCAAGGGGGAGGGACGGAGGGGGGACAGCAAAGGGGGAGGAACGGAGGGGGACGACTAAGGGGGGGGGCGGAGTGGGGATGAGAAAAGGGGGGAAACGGAGGGAGGACGACAAAGCGAGGAGGAACGGAGGGGGAACGGCAAAGGGCGGGGAACGGAGGGGGACGACAAAGGGTGAGGAACGGAGGGACGACAAAGGGGGAGGAACGGAGGGGGGACGGCAAAGGGGGAGGAACGGAGGGGGGACGACAAAGGGGGAGGAACGGAGGGGGACGGCAAAGAGGGAGGAACGGAGGGGGACGACAAAGGGGGAGGAACGGAGGGGGACGGCAAAGGGGGAGGGTCGGAGGGGGACGACAAAGGGGGAGCGGCGGAGGGGGACGACGAGGGGGGGGGAACGGAGGGGGGACGGCAAGGGGGTGGAACGGAGGGGGACGACAAACGGGGAGGGATGGAGGGGGGACGACTGAGGGGGGACGACAAAAGGGGGAGGAGCGGAGAGGGGACGACCAAGGGGGGGGAACGGAGTGGGCACGACAAAGGGGAAGGAAAGGAGGGGTGACGGCCAAGGGGGGCGAACAGAGGGGGACGACAAAGGGGGAGGAACGGAGGGGGGACGACAAAGGAGGAGGAACGGAGGGGGACAGCAAAGGGGGAGGAACGGAGGGGGGACAGCAAAGGGGGAGGAGTGGAGGAGGGACGACAAAGGGGAGGAACGGAGGGGGGACGGCAAGGGGGGAGGGTCGGAGGGGGGACGACAAAGGGGGAGCGGCGGAGGGGGGACGACGAGGGGGGGGAACGGAGGGGGACGGCCAAGGAGGAGGAACGGAGGGGGGACGGCCAAGGGGGAGGAACGGAAGGGGGACGACAAACGGGGAGGGAGGGAGGGGGGACGACTGAGGGGGAGGGGCGGAGGGGGGACGACAAAAGGGGGAGGGGCGGAGAGGGGACGACCAAGGGGGGGAACGGAGTGGGGACGACAAAGGGGAAGGAAAGGCGGGGGGACGGCCAAGGGGGGGGAACGGAGGGGGGACGACAAAGGGGGAGGAACGGAGGGGGGACGACAAAGGGGGAGGGACGGAGGGGGGACGACAAAGGGGGGGGGGAACGGAGGGAGGACGACAAAGGGGAGGGAACGGAAGGGGGACGACAAAGTGGGAGGGGCCGAGGGGGACGAGAAAGGGGGGGGAACGGAGGGGGGACGACAAAGGGGTAGGAACGGAGGGGGGTACGGCAAAGGGGGAGGAAAGGAGGGGGACGACGAATCCTCGCCAGCGCCAGCGCCGGTGCTAGCGCCTATTCGCCAGTGCCAGTACCAGCGCTAGCGCCAGGACCAGCGCCAAGTCACCAGCGCCAGCGCCGAATCGCCAGCGCCAAAATGCCAGCGCCGAAACGCCAGTGCCAGCGCAAGCGCCAGCGCCAGCGCCAGCGCAAAAGCGCCAGCGCCAGCGCCAGCGCCAAAGCGCCAGCGCCAAAGCGCCAGCGCCAGCGCCAAAACGCCAGCGCCAGCGGCAGCGCCAGCGCCAAAACGCCAGCGCCTGGCGCCAAATCGCCAGCGCCAGTGCGACCAGCGCCAGCACCAGCGCCAAATGCTTAGCGCTAGAGCCAGCGCCAGCGCCAGCTCTAAGGAAACGCGCCTAGCGGTTCTACACTTACCAGGTAAATAAGCTGATGGAAACTTGAAAGTCTGGAAAGCTTTTGAGAAGGAATGTGAGGAAAGCTGAAAAGCTAGATGAATGAATTTCTGAACGAGAAACGCACGAGGAGCAGGAAACAAAAAAACGCGTTGGGAGGAGGAAGGGAGAAACGCACAGGGAGAAGCAAGAAACGTAAACCCCATCCCGATGCGCGTTTTGTTGTTTGTACTGTACAGAACACGAGGTACTGTAGTCAGGTTTCTCAGGTACTGTAGTTGCCGGTTTCGACTTCAAGCTGGTACAAGCTTGTGACACCACATGCGATACTTGAGGTACCTCACCCCTTAATGATTAGGCTTCAGAATGTTTCGTCAATAATTCATTGAACAGGAACAAGCAGGTTTCTTGCGTAGTTTCGGCTTCGTCACGTGCTTGGATGCCAAATCCAGCGTGTTACAGCCTAATGCTATAATGATGAGGCTACAGAAGAATGTCAAAATCATTATATGAATATAAGCATAATATCATTACATGTATATACTTAAATTAATTTAATCAATATATAAGTATATTCATGTCAATATAATACATACGTCAAAACCATCATTATGCGAAAACCAGTATGTGAATATCATTAGATTAATATCCATATTATATCAGTATATGTATATATTTATATTAATAAACCCTTGATGTGACCTAGACAAAGGTGAAAAGCATGTATTGTGCTCAACGCGCACATTGTAATACCATATAAATTACATTTGTACATTTTCTCCCATCCAGACCATAAAGAATCATATATACTCTTTGTAGTATCATATATATCATTATTTAAATATAATTATTTATAATATTATTACGAGAAAATTTGATTCCCAATCAAATAATTTATTCCTCACAACTTACACAATTATGAACTTTAATATGAAATGTAAATTTAAACGTCATACCAACTGTATTATTCTTAAGATTCTACACATTGGAAATCTATAGACTACGCAACCCTTCCGACGCTTGGGCGTCGAGCCTTGTTCTAGATTTTCATCTGACGGCGCGTAAGCCAAGCACTTCCCCCAGTCAGTCGAAAGGTAATCTCATCCGTCAAATTGTGTGCTTGTAAATCTGACGGTTCACGACAAGCGTTGAATTTGCGAGAGTAAACGCCCTCGCGATTTTCCAGATTATTTCGTACAGCCTGAGGGTCAAACTTCATACGCAGTGCGTTTGAACAATTTGGGCCGCGGGTTTTAATATATAAACCTTGTATCTCTTTGTTATAATCAATCACTTGTCCTCATATACGAGTACAAGGGTTCAACTCAAGACTTCCGCTGTGCTATCAAGCACTCAGTTACAAGGACTTAGCATTGTGAATATCCTAGGGCTCTGGTACGGTACAAAAGATTCCTATCTGTGTTTGTAGCTGTTCCTCCCTATTTGGTCACACCTCCTGCCCTTGCGGCCTCTCGCTTATTCTTGGCCTCGATCGCAGCCACCTTCTCAGCCTGCTTCTTCTTCTTAGCCTCGATTGCAGCCGCCTTCTCCTCCTGCTTCTTCTTCTTAGCTGCGATTGCAGCAGCCCTTTCCTCCTCCTTCCTTTTCTTCTCAGCAATGGCAGCAGCCTTCTCTTCCTGCTTCCTCTTCTTCTCAGCAATAGCAGCAGCCTTCGCAGCTTGCAGCCTCTTCTTCTCCGCAATCGCCGCCGCTTTCTCTTGCTGCTTCCGCTTCTTCTCAGCAATCGCCGCCGCTTTCGCCTCCCTCTTCTTCCTCCTTTCCTCCACTGCGGCCTTCTTGGCTGCAACCATCTGCTTCTTAGCAGCAAGAGCAGCCGCCCGTTTTGATGCTGCTTCCTTCTTTTGCCTGGCCACCTCCTGTGGAGTCAGCACAATAGGGCCTCCGGATGTTTCAGATGAACCAGTTGACCCAGTTGACCCGGTTGACCCAGATGATCCAGAGGATGAGCCGGACCCAGTGTCAGGGGGAGGAGGAGGAGCAGGGGGGTTGGCGCTGCCGCCACCAGGAGGGGTGGAGTCCACAGCGCACGCCGCCCCTTCGTCACTCCCATCGTTACAATTCACCGTCCCATCGCAGAACAGCCCCTCGGCCACGCACTGCAGCCCGTCCGCGCACTTCTTGAACCCATCTGGGCAAGTGTACGCCTTACAGAACGCCTTATCCTCGTCCTCCGCCTCGCCCTTCGCATAGCAGTCCTGCACGCCGTCACAGAGCGTGCCCCACACGCAGTAGAAAGTCTTGGGGCACTGGATCATGCCCCACGTGCACACGTGGTTCTGGCAGTTGGCCTCATCGTACCCATCATGGCAGTTGGGAATGCCATCGCAGTAGTCCTGCTGGACCAAGCACGCGTATCGGTCGTTGGGGCACTGCTCCAGACCCTGATCCCCGCAGTAGTTTGTGTCGTCTTGATACCCGGCGCGGCACACCCGGCCCTCGTCGCTGCCGTCCGCGCAGTCGACCACGCCGTTGCACTCGCCGCCGGGGGGCATGCAGCCCGTCAGCGTGGGGCAGAAGGTCTGCCGCGGGGAAAAGAAAAGCGGGAAAGAATGGTTGGAAAGAGTCTGCCTCTGCGGGGCATGCAGCCCGTCAGCGTGGGGCAGAAGGACTGGTGGAAAAGAAGAGAAACAAGTGCCACTAGAAACAAGCCTGGCCTCCGCGGGGCATGCAGCCTGGTCAGCGTTGGGTAGTCGTTCGTAGGCCGGCCTGGTGGGAGTGAATGGGGGGCAGGGAAGCAGAACAAAAATGGGAGGCGGAAAAGCGACATACAGGGCGTTCTTTTACCGAATCGTGAAGGCTTGGCGCGGGATGAAGTGAGGACTCCTGGCAGTAAATTTTGAGTCGACTCAAAAGCTGGCAGCACATTTACATCCAGCAGTCGTACAAAGTTTGTTTTGAGACGTCTCAAAACAAACCTTATATCACCTGGTAGCTCATCCGGCAGTCATTCAAAGACTCATGAATGAGTGCTTTCTCGCAAAATTTATGAGTCGGACTCCTGGAAGGATAGTGCGCAAAACAAACGGCGGAAAGGGGAAGAAATCATATCGTACGGCGGATTGGGGAAGATTATGTCGTACGGCGGAAAGGGTACTAGGGCGACGCCCACCTTCTTCACGATTTCGCAGTCGAAATTGCGGCAGAACTCGAACGACTCGTCGCTGCCGTCCGCGCAGTCCGGCTTCCCGTCGCACACCTGCGACTCGTGCATGCACCCGCCGCCGCTGGGGCAGTAAAAATTCCCCTGCTCCTCGTAGCACTCCTGCCATAGATCCGAGCTGCCGTCTGACGTCGGGTTACACAGGTTGTAGTCTTCGTCGCTGCCGTCGCGACAGTCGCTGACGCCGTCGCAGATCCGCGCGTTGTCGACGCACCCGCCAATGCCGGAGGGGCAGGGCTGGGAATCCCCCGTGCAATCCGCGGATTGAAGCGCCCGCCGGGCGGAAACTCCGCCGCCGCCGCCGGCGGCGCGGCGCAACGGGCGAGTGGCGGCGAGAAGAGCATCGACGATCGAGGGTCGGGCGCCGCCAACCGCGGCGATGGCGCCGCGTGGACACCGTGGAAGGATGAGGAGGAGGAGGAGGAAGGGGAGAAGGGGTGCGATCATACTGCTGCTACTGACTCCTGAACGTTTTAGTCGTGCTGCCATTTTGCTTCAAGCTTCAAGTTGAGAGAAAAGGTTGTGGGTTGAATTATGCAGCGGTCATTTTCGGATGTCCGCCGTGCTTTCAGGATTTCGCCGAGCTCTCGCTAGCAAAAGCTTGACTCCTTGGCGTCGCTCTTAGCGCAGACTAGCAAAGCTCAACGCGCAACACTGACGGACCTAGTGGGAATGACATGGTTTCATCATGCAGCCGAAGTTATGATGCGGTGCGGATCCCAGCGGGTGGTGGTGAGTCTCACGTGGCAGGAGCGGAGTACCGGCGGAAAGGGGAAACTACTGTCGCAAAGCAGTGTTCTGTGGTTTCCCCGGTAACTGCAATATTTTTCAGATTGGGTGAAATCAACGGGGGCGAACGTTTCGCGTACGGGTTGCGACAGGGCCCTGACATTTTCGCACAGATGTCTTTCCTTCTGCATTCGTTTCAGCCTCGATGTTGGGGAGCTGGTCGTTAGCGCGGACTGAGAGCAGAGTGGGGCCAGGTGGAAAAGGAGTAATGAGGGGGTTTAGAATGTGGGTATTTACAGAGGGATGTGCTAGGTCCAAGATAGGTGAAACGGAGTGGAAAGGGATGCAAAACCTGTGAAAGTGAGGTGCTGGGAATGGCACAGGCAGTTCCTTCGGAAATTGGCGCAGATAGTAGCACGCGCAGACGCAAGGGCAGGCGGTTTCTGAGAAAGCGACTCGCAACAGAGCAGCGATTTCAGCTCTCTCAGGTAAGTCAAACAAATTCGGCTGGCGCAGTACGGAGAGTGGTTGTGTTGGTTTGGGGGACGGGCGGAAGTGGTTCGGGGGAAGCTGGTGTGGGAGGGGTTTGGTTTAGCCCGGCCTTGGGAGAAAGGCGGTCTGGGGTAGGGGAGGGGAATTCGTGCGGTAACAACAAGCACAACCTCAGGTGGACTGCAGGTGGACTGGCATACGACAAGGAAGTGGGATAATGCCGAAGCAGGCCAGTTGCCCCCATACACCTGGCACGTGTGGTGTTGACAAGCACAAATTCTTTTTGCGGCTTCATTACAAGCTATTAGCTGACAGACAGCTTGCAGAAAAGCAACTGAAACACTGTCGAATTGTCCTCACCTTATGAATATGCCCTTTTTATCCTTTACACATCCTTATAGAAGTAGACTACCATTTGCCTTCTTTCATTTCCTAATTCTATCTTCTGCTTATGGGTCTTCGTGTCCACTGACGCATCACTTGACGCATGCACATTTTAGCTCCAAACCGTTTAAGATATGATAGCATGAAGACAAAGAACATGAGCTGTATATGAGGTGAATACAGGGCTCTTTGGCATGAAACATTGTGTAATAATAGTATTACATCAAATGCTCTCTCGAAAAGTTGGTAAAGAACCATTGTTCAGGTCAAGAAATTTCAAGAGCTGCCTAAGGAGGATACTTTGCCCCTCATGAAACCACCAGAGAAGCGTCTGCCCTGGTGCCTAGTTGACCTCCAGTCATCTCTAGTTCAGAGGTTGAACCCGCAGCATGACCGACTGTCAACTGGGAACCGATCTCTAGTAATTCTGCAGACAGGCCTGAAGAATTTACACCTTCGTATTCGTGGGAATCAGGACTTTATCCACGCCGTGAGCAATGAAGTACTTCCCCGCGTACAGCCTGATGATCTTGATCGTCGTCCAAGCGGCAGGGGGGGCGTTGGGAGTCTTGGCGAAGGAAACAATGTTACCATTCTGCTGCGAAACCTTGTACATCGCCTGCTTCAGCTGCGTGGCCAACGGCTGCGACTTCTTGAGAACCTTGAGCGCGGGAACGGTGTACTTCTTGCGGATAATGTGGTACGCCGTGATGTTGTAGATCTTGGGAATGTTAGAGCTCTTAACGGGGACCTTCTTAGCGAGGGCTTCCGCCTCCGTGTCGCTGGGGAGCAGGAGCGTCGCGTCGCTGAGCGCTGTGAAATCGTACTTGGAGTTCACTGGAGATGGGAAAGGGAGGAGGGAGAGGGAGGACAGAGAACAGGGGTTCAGTGGCTGAGCGCTGTGAAATCGTATTTGGACAGAGTGGGCGAGATGGAGCACGATGCTGGGCGGGAACGATGGAGGAAAGAGGTGGCTGGGCGCGAACCTGACTACTTTTCTGGCGATTCGAAGGTAAACTAATGCTAGTTAAAGATCAAGAAATCGACCTGCAGAGAGAAGCGCAGCGGGAGGGTTTGCTGGAAGACAACGGGATAGACTAAGATGGCTATGAAATCCTGACGTTTTGACTGCCCAATTTCCTGCTGGCGGCGAGAGCTAGAGGGCGAGGGAGAGGGCGAGGAAGAGAAATAAGAGTATCTCAGTGAAAAGAGGGCCCTTACGTGCGAGGCCGATGTACTTGTTGATGTCTTTGGCATATTTCGAGTATTTCGGAAACTTCTTCGTGATGGCGTTCGCCATGTTCTGTAGCTCCGCTTTAATCTGCGCCTTGGTGGGCTTCACCTGTGCGTGCGCGGAGGCGAAGCACAGCGCGATGCACAGCAGCCCGAGGAGAGGAAGGAACCTTGAGCCGGCCATTGTGCGTGAGAGCTGTGCGGTCGTTCTGAGTGAATAGATTCGTGGGGAAATCTGGTGGAAGGAAAGCTTTGTTGTCAGCGAGTGGAGTGGGCTACTTGTGAGTGAACGAATTCGACAGGAAAGCAAATTTGATTAGTGGGTGAGCGAGGCACGAATGAGTTGGATGGAACTAATTGAGGCACGAAATGAGTTTTATAGCCGACGGGGAGGGGGTTGGAGGAGACTGGAAGCGCGTCAATACAGTGCAGACCGACATGCGACGCGGTAAGCGGTGCATCCATGCGTGGCTATGTGACACACTCCGTGGCAGCTTTGAAATTCGCAGGGAACTTGGGGACTCGGCAGTCGCCGGGTAACTGACCAGGCGCTACAGGAAGTGGGAGCAGGAAAGTGTCGCGAAGTCATGACATTTCGTCGGGCTTGGCTTGAAGTTAGGGAACGGGGAAAATTACTGCCGCGGACTGTCCGCAAATCTTTTCATACTTTCGTGGACAGCCCCTACTTTCATGGACACCACATCAACCTTTCGCTTCTCCCGTGGACTCCGTCCTTACTTTCATGGACATCCGCCTTACTTCCATGGACAAAGTCGAAATCGCAGGAAATAGGCGAAAACTCAACTGTACAAAAAATGACTGGCGTTGAAAAAAAAAAACAGTGGCTTAGCGTGCGTCGCAAAGAGTCGCGCACTACAGTGCCCCAAACCTAATCCAAAACAGAATCAGAATCATATTTCAAAGAAGCATTTTTATTTAGAGCCTTGTTAAAAAAACATAATATATTTTGGAAGTTATGCAGGGAAATTTTCCAAAAACATTTATCATGAGAACGAAACCTTTCTTTTTGCGAATATGATGTAAACAACAACAGCAGCACTAGTCTGAACTGGTAGACAAATTTACAAAGCGTACCGTTTTTTCCTTCTGAAGTACAGTTACGTAGAAACGCGTGGGTACTGCCTGCCGAATCACACATCACAGGACTTTTTGTGCCAAACGCACCAAACGAAAACCTGGCGTGAAAGTCATGTTCCTAATTTCGGGGAGACTCTGTTTCGGATTAGGTTTGGGGCACTGTAGTGCGCGACTCTTTGCGACGCATGCTGAGCTGCTGTTTTTTTTTTCAGCGCCCGTCATTTTTTGTGCAGTTGAGTTTTCGCCTATTTCCTGCGATTTTGACCTTGTCCATGGAAGTAAGGCGGATGTCCATGAAAGTAGGGACGGAGTCCACGGGAGAAGCGAAATGTTGATGTGGTGTCCATGAAAGTAGGGGTTGTCCACGAAAGTATGAAAAGATTTGCGGACAGTCCGCGGCAGTAATTTTCCCTAGGGAACGGCAGATGGTCGGTTGCACTCGCGGCCCGCGTGAAGGGAGGCTGCATTTCAACGACATTCCATACCCGAGACAACGATTTTCCTCGAGCGGAATACATTATATATTGGAACACTTTGCAATAAGGACGTGGAATGTCGTGCCCCGTTTGGTAAGCACCTTTTTCACTCACCTCACCCGCTTCATAACCTACTTATTACTATTTTGCACTTAGTGCCATGCTGCATAACACATTGCATATGCACACTGCATCTTACTATGTTACATCCAAAAACACGTATAAAAGGCTACTTATACACACATGAGCAGGACCCTATTCAAGCGTTATCAACCAAAAAGAAACACCACAACAGCAAGTTTGGCGACTGGTCTACATCATCCCGGCAAACACGGTGTGGTTATGGACCTGACTAACGAGGTGCTGGCATCACACCATATAAACAATCCTGTCACTTCAACGACATTATCCTGCGCAAGGGAACCATGCGCTTCCTGATAGACAGAAGGGAGGAAAGGGAGGGAAACAAACTTTGGAGCTGCTGAACATGCGACACTGGGACAAATGGAGAACAATGCAAATGGCAGTGAAATAACTTGGATATACGACAAGGCGTGAGGAGGCATCCGGAGAGGGGAGGGGTAGGGCAGGGTGGGCGTGCATTGCAGGTCAGGTTGGGGGCATTGGGGAAGGGAGGAAGGGGGGCTAGGATGGGAGCCAGGAGGAGATGGGGGAAAGGAGCAACGGGGAGGAGGGGAGGGGGCGGGGTGGGAGGGGGATGGGGTGGGTGTTTCAAGGAGAGCGAACCTGCAGACATATGCGCAAGGTAATGGAGTGCGCGGGCAGCACTGCAGCAAGGTTGGTACAAACGCACTGTACAACTACTCACGTTGGCGAAACAAACCCAGACGACGATGCGTCCTTGGACTTGCTTCCAGCATCCCGTGCGCCCTTCCCTTCCGCACTCCCCCCTTCCGCCGCACTCCCCCCACTCCTCCCCTCCTCACTCTCGCACTCAGCAATAGGCCCGTCCACACCCAGAGACACAGCTCCACACGAGTCAGACACAGCAGCCGAGCCGAGCCCTGCACTCGCAGGCTTGGTCGAAAGAAACTGCGCCGCAGACTTGGCAGCAGCAGCAGAACTGCTATCCCCGCTAGAGGCCGCCCCCTTATCCGTTTTTAGCGAGAACCACCTGGCGAAGCGACGGGAGGGCGTGAGCGGGGGGGCGGCGCTCCCGTTGGGGGTAGTGGCGCCAGCGGGGGGAAGGGAGGAGCAGGAGAGCGGGCCGTGGTCGGCGGAGGGGGAGTCGGGGACGGTGAGCGCTGGGAGGAAAGGCAGCCCTCCGCCGCCCGACGACCCTCCGCCCGAGTGTTTTCCGCGGAGGCGAAAGGAGCGCGCGGAAACGAGGGACGAGAGCGCGCCCGTGCTGGTGCTTTTGCTGATGCTGCCGCTGTTGGATCCGCGCGCCTTGTCCTTGTGTGGCGCAGCGGTGGTGCTACTGGTCGGGGTGTTAGAGTCAGGCGTGTTGCTGGTTGGGGTGGTGCCGGTTGCGGAAAGGAGGGAGAAAAGCCCTCCTGCGCTCGTGCTCCTGCGGATGCCGCCGCTGCCGCTGCCGCCGCCGCTGCCGCTGCTGCTTCCGGCGTTCTCGCTGTCCATGCTTGGAGCATTAGTGGCGGCGGTGCTGCCAGTAGTGGCGGAGGTGCTGCCAGTAGTGGCGGCGGTGCTGCTAGTAGTGGCGGTGGTGGTAGAGGTGACGATAGCCGCACTCTCCGCCGCACTTGGCTCCGCCGCGCTCTCCGCCGCGTGCTCTGATACTTCAACCGCTACAGTCTCCTCCGCGGACGACGCACGCGAAGAGCCCCCCTCCGCGAATTCCATCGCTTCCACCGTGTCAGACGTTTCCGCCTCTTCTGGCGTTTTCGCCTCTTCTGGCGTTTTCGCCTCTTCTGGCGTTTTCGCCTCTTCTGGCGTTTTCGCCTCTTCTGGCGTTTTCGCCTCTTCTGACGTTTCCGCCTCTTCTGGCGTTTCCACTCTTGCTGGCCGCGTTTCCGGCGGTTCCGTTGCTACAGCGGGTTTGGCCGCCTCTGAAATTTCCGCTGTCTCCCCCCCTTCAACTCCCGCCAGCGTCTCCGCCAGTTCCGCGGCTTCCGCGCGCTGCGCGACCGCCGTTCTCCCCGCTTCTTCAATCATCATGATCTGCCACAGCAGCCGGCTCTCCTCGTCCTCCACGCCCGCTTCCAGAACCTCACTCTCCGATATTGCCGCCATGGCATCGGCTGAGCTTAACGCGCCGCCGTCCATATGATCCCACGGATGCGTCGGGAGGCCCAAGGATGCCGATGAGGCGGTTGCGTGGCTGTGGGAAGGGAGGACGTCGGCCATGGCAGTGCTGAACTGAACTGGCTTAGTGAAAGCCTGAGCCAGGGGAACAGAGTGGTGGTAAGTAACTCAACTCACGCTCTGAGCCCAGATGTTCCGGCGTCTCCAGCGAATGCGTCGTTTCAGAAGCTAATGCTAGACGGAGGACTTTGGCTGTCTACTTGGGGCCGAGACGAGAACACTTCCGCACGTGTCGGGCAAGAAATGTCACCAATTACTGTACAAACACAGACATACGGGAAAACGGACTTTCCCTGGCGAGCGCGCAGGGGCCCATGGGCTTTTGATTCCGTAACATCACACAAGCGAGTCTCCCGAGGCCCAGGTTTGAGGGACAATGCGGTCATCAGCGCAAGCTATTTTATGTAGTGGAGGAAACAAAAGTTTCTCAGGGCCTGTCCCGCGCGTACATTTCTTGCTAAAAAACTTACCCAACCATTTCAGATCGTTATAGGTACTTTCTGACTCGCAGAGAATCTCACCCAACCGCAATCAAACGTACGTGCGGGACGCGCCCTCACGGCCCCAAAGCGGTACTGAGGCATTGGGGTTTCGCTGTGCGAATCGCGTCACGCCCTCACGTTCCATCGAGGATTTCGCTTCGCCTGTGCTCATTCGCCCACGAGAACTGCCACCTCGCAAGTGTTCGCAGGCTTTGAGGGCTTCATTCTCTCCCTCGGCTGAAACCTGGTGTGTTGACACGGGCAGGGGGGCAGAACAGCTGTAACGGCAAAATCATTGTGGAATTATCATTGGTGCCCAGATGCGGAATGAAATCGCGACTCGAATAATCGCGGCTACTACAGGTCGCTCGCGTGCCCTTCGCGAAGGTTATTGGCTGAGCAAGACTCGCTTGCAGCGATGGAGTTGAAGACCGGATTGCGTGGCGGAAAGAATCCTGTGCACTCTGGAGGTGTTATCACCACACATCAAGTGTGATCCACGTCAGATAATAATAGATCTGAGCCAGCCTCCCAAACACTCGTTCTAGAGTCCCTCTTCGCAAGAGCCACGATAAGTTTTACATGTCCTACAAACCAGACCCTTATCACTACAAATATGTAATATAGAAACCCGCATCATATACCACCTTTTAAGCTCTAACAAACTCTATATCCTCCTCACCGTCATCAAAATCCACTCCTCTCACCACACCCTCCAACAAGCCTGAAACTTGCATAAGCTCCAATTGGCGATGACCACCCGTCACATCAGGCAACCCAATTTCTCCACCCTCCCCCCAAATTGTTGCGCCAATTTCCTCATCACCACCATACCCCTGACGCTCCACGTGCTCGAATGAATATCTCGAGGCATCAACGAGGGAAGGCTCGGAATACACAGCCGCATAATCACTCGAGTTGCCACTATGTGTGGGGGAAGACGCAGGGTCGTCCCCTGAAGGCGGGAGGAGTGGCAACGGGCGTATGTGCCAGTCTATAGGGTGGTTGGCGATGGCCGGGCGGGGAGCGTGCATGAGGAGGGAAGCATGGGTTGAGTGCGGTGCTACAGAGGTGTGGGGAGGGGGGTGTGAGGAGGAAGAGGGGGAGGAGGGGAGTGGGGAGGTCAGGTACTGGCCCCACTTTCGCAAGAGGAAGAACCTAGATAGGAGGGGAAGAGGAGACGGAAGAGGGGCAAGAGGGGGTGCGGAATAGGGGGAATTGACTCGTGAGCATAAGTGAGTAAAGTGAAAGCGCGGGAAGGAGCGGATGTCCTGTTGGCATGTTCGTAACATGGGAGTTGCATGTTGGGTGACGTGTGCATACCATGTGAGTTGCATGTAGGTGGCATGCGCATAACATTTGAGTTGCATGTAGGTGGCACGTGCATACCATGTGAGTTGTATGTAGGTGGCATGCGCATAACATGTGAGTTGTATGTAGGTGGTATGCGCATAACATGTGAGTTGCATGTAGGTGGCATGTGCATACCATGTGAGTTGCATGTAGGTGGCATGCGCATAACATGTGAGTTGCATGTAGGTGGCACGTGCATACCATGTGAGTTGCATGTAGGTGGTATGCGCATAACATGTGAGTTGCATGTAGGTGGCACGTGCATACCATGTGAGTTGCATGTAGGTGGCATGCGCATAACATGTGAGTTGCATGTAGGTGGCATGCGCATAACATGTGAGTTGCATGTAGGTGGCACGCGCATAACATGTGAATTGCATGTAGGTGGCATGCGCATAACATGTGAATTGCAAGTAGCTGGCAGGCGCATAACATGTGAGTTGCATGTTAAGTGGAATGTGATGGGTTGACAGCATGGCAGGGATGCCCAGCAAACGATGCCTGATTTGACATTCACATGGAATGGGATGGTAGACGGAATGTGTGCACGGCATATGCACGATGAATGCATGACATTGCATGTGGAGTGCGACGGGAAGCAAGGGAATCACCAAAGGATGAGGACACAAAGGAGTGTGTATACACAGGAGAAGATGGCTTTTGCTTTGAAGTCCCCTCAAATGCCATGGAACGTGCATCACCATTGGATGAGGCCCCAGAGGAGGATGCAGGAGAAGATGGAGGGGATCCACGCATTGGGGTAGAACTTGAGGAAACTGTGTGTGGGATGGGGGGCGAGGATCATTGGGGGATGGGGATGAGAGTTATCCAGAGGTGGGGGCCATGAGTATCGGGTGTGCGGAGTATGCAGGAGAAGATGGAGGGGATCCACGCATTGGGGTAGAACTTGAGGAAACTGCATGGCGTGGGATGGGGATGAAAGCTGGTGGGGAATGGTGCGAGGGGCATGGTGTGAGGGGCAAGGTGCAAGGGGCATGGTGCGAGGGGCATGGTGTGAGGGGCAAGGTGCGAGGGGCATGGTGCGAGGGGCATGGTGTGAGGGGCATGGTGTGAGGGGCATGGTGTGAGGGGCATGGTGTGAGGGGCATGGTGTGAGGAGTAAGGTCTGATATGTCATAACATGGCATGGCATGCCGCAAGAGAGCGCAACGACATGCCCATCACCATGCCATGGCCCTTGCATCCATTGCATGTGGCTATGGGAATGCGTACCATGGTGGCAAACAACGGGGAGAAGAATGTGATTCACAATGATGCAAAACGGACACGCCTCAGGCCTGGGGGAAAAAGTCAGTGCATTTGAAGAGCTGAGCATGCAGCTAGTAATGGGCACGCTGCACGCCCATGCACAATGGACGGGCCACAGGCCTGGGAAAAACGGACAGTGCACTTTCAAAGAGCCGACACCGCAGCTAGTAATGCATCGGGCTGTTAGGTACGTATGCCGGGCTTTTGAGTCGACTCAAAGGCACACGCCACAGGCCTGGCCAGTGGGCTCATTTGCACACGCCACAGACAAGACAGTGTGCTCAAAGAGCCGAGCACACACACTAGTAGCGCATGGGGCTGTTAGGTACGTACGCCATAGTGGAGAGCAAAGGGAAGAAGAACGTGATCCCTGCAACAGAGGTGAAGAAAGATCGGATTCCAAGGGGTGGGGGGGGGAGGGGGGAGGGGAGGGGGGCGAGAGTTTGAATGCATTCAGAGGCATTCGACCTGAAGAGCGGCGTGAGAAAGAGGCCACGACATGCAGAGAGACGGAAGCAAGGCATGTGGTGGAAAAGAGGAGCAGGGCTCTTGGGCGAAAGAAGAGCTACCGGCTGAGAAGAGTCGGAAAGTCAACCGCCAGTCTGATTCGCACCTGCAGATGGGAAGAGTGAAGCCAGGAGGGGAAGAGACAATGGGAGGGGAAAGAGCCGGAGGCGGAGGGGAAGTGAAGAAGTGAATATACCGAGGGGACAAGAGGAAGTGAATATACCGAGGGGACAAGAGGAAGTGAATATACCGAGGGGACAAGAGGAAGTGAATATACCGAGGGGACAAGAGGAAGTGATGGAGAAAAAGAGGGGGGGGAAATTGGAGGAAGGGAAAGGATGGGGACGTGAGTGAGGACATACTCACCTAAGGTGCATATGGCAGAAAAACAAAAACAAAAACCGTACGACCTGAGGTCTCAACACTGGTCCCATACTGAAGCACCAGAGGAAGGCACCTGAGGAAAGCACCTGATGAAAGCACCTGAAGAAAGCACCTGATGAAAGCACCTGAAGAAAGCACCTGATGAAAGCTCCTGAAGAAAGCACCTGATGAAAGCACCTGAAGGAAGCACCTGAGGTCCCAGAAGCGGTCGAAGCTCCTCAGGGCAGCTGGCGGGGCGGTGTGCATCGTCCTGTTGCCGGCAACCGCTCGGTTGAGCGCAAAGCAGCGGGCAGAGGCGAGAAACTCCTCCTCCTCCCTCTCGTGCACGAAGAGCTTTCCCATCCTTAGGACCGCGCCCAAGACAAAGACGGCAATCATTGCTGCCACTATCATCAACGATGGCTGGGGAGGCGGGTGTGCAGGGAGTGCAGGGGTGGTGAGCACACGGAGCTCCTCCTCCGAGCTCTCGTGCATGAAGAGCTCTTCATGCAAGCTCCGCCTCGAGCTGAGGAGGAGCTCTCGTGCATGAAGAGCTTGCCCGTTTTGAGGACTAAACCTATAACGAGGACAGTTATCATGGCTACGACCACCACCATGAGAGTTGGCTGTGTGGTGAGTGGTGGGCAGTGGCTGGTGAGTGGTGGGCGAAGGGTGGTGAGTGGTGGGCGGAGGGTGGTGAGTGGTGGGCGGTGGGCGGTGAGTGGTGGGCGGTGGGCGGTGAGTGGTGGGCGGTGGGTGGTGAGTGGTGGGCGGTGAGTGGTGGGGGCGGTGAGTGGTGGGCGGTGAGAGGTGGGCGGTGGGCGGTGGGTCTGAAGGCATAAGACCTGCGGACACATTGCATGTGCATGGATGCAGCAATCATATACGTCTTACCACGAGTGCAGTGCAGAGAGCGTACGCTGTGACCAGGGCCTGCACGGTTAGAGGGAGGGAGAAGGTGAATGGGAGAGGGGAGCAGCAAAACGGGAGAGGAAACGAGAGAGTGAGAGCCAGAGCGGAAGTGAAAAGGGGGGGACTGTATGGATGGGGGAGGCAACGGGGCAACGCAAAGGCGGTGAGCGAGCGCGGGTTGGGGTGGGGGGAGATGGAATGGTGATAACTGTGCAACAGCACTCTGCCATGGGTGCACACTCTGCCATGGGTGCACACTCTACCATGGTGGGGGGCATCCGGGTCGCTATGAGTGAACTCCACCGGTGCTGACATTGTGAACCCGCCCGCTGTTCCGAGACATAACTCAACTCTACCACGCAACAACCCAGTAAGGGCATGGTACATAAGCGTTCAAACTTAGCTGAGTTTGAGCGGGGGCGAGTGGTACAGTGGTTTTAATAACGGTTTTGGCGTGGTGCAGTTAGATACTCGCGTGGTACAATGTGGTGGAAGTTCGGACGGAGGCTGTTAGAACGCCTATGTATCACACCCTAACAGTTACCACAGCACCAACCATACCCTACCATGGGGGCATTGGGGTCGCTACCATGGGGGCATCGGGGTCGCTGTAGGTGAACTCCACAGGAGCTGTCATCGTGAATCCGCCCACTATGGCCGCCAGCCACGCCATGGCCCGCATGTGCTCCGCCTTCTCTTCAACGCTCCGTCTGTTGCACTCCTTGGTGCTAATAACGGGGATGGGGGGTGAGGAAACAGGAGTGGGTGCCAGTGCCACACCATGGCTCTCATGCGCTCCGCTCTCTCCTCCACGCTTCGTCAGCCGCACTCCTTGGCGCCAGCAACGGGGATTTTTGAGTTCTCAAGAATCACCGACAACAGGAGGGACTGATGGACAGGGGCATTCGGTTTGGGTGGGGGAAGAGGGAAGGGGCCAGTGCCAGACCGTGGCTCTCATATGCTGCACCTGCTCCTCCACACAGCGCCTGTTGCACTCCTTGGTGCTTATAACGCGGATATGGAATGATGGACAGGAGCATTCGGGTGCGGGAAGAGGGAAGGGGCCAGTGCCAGACCATGGCTCTCAGGTGCCCCACCTGCTCCTCCACACTGCGCCTGTTGCACCCCTTGGTGCTGGTGAGGAGGCGAGGGGGCATAGGGGATAAGGGAAGGGGGGAAAGGGGGATGGGGGAAGATGGATGGGGTGAGTGCCATGGGAAGCCCTGCCGATGCAGGTCTCCCTCTTTCTCCCTCTCTCCTCTCGCTCCCTCTTCTCAACTCCCACTCCTCCCTCTGCCTCCTTCCCCCCACCCCTCGTCCTGATACAACCTGCCCCCCTGCCCTCCCCCCCACCGTCCCCAATCTCCAACACCCAATCCCCAATACAATCCCCAATGCAATCCCCAATACAATCCCCAATACAATCCCCGATACAATCCCCAATACCCCGTCACCTTCGCCCTTACCGGCTCCACAGCTGCATCGCGTTGTCCAGGTGTCGCTGCTGCATGATTTCTTGCCGCCACCTGGTGAGACAGGATTGGACGGGGTAGAAGCGCATGGGATTGGTTAACGCAGTCAGGCTACTCCCTCTCAGGCGTGACATTTGGCTTCTAGCCGAGCCTTATTCCGCCACTTTGGTATTGTACCGCTCCTTTCAGTGTGCACCCCGCTGAAGGCACACCAGATATACGCACACACCGATAGAATCACACCCATATAATACAAGCACACCTGTGTCTCACAGCGCGGAACAGGCGCTCTTCCGCTTTAAATCGCCTCTCCTCCGCGCGGAACGCCACGTCATCCGCGCGCCACCGGCGCACCTCCTCCCGCCACTGCCGCTCCTCCTTCCGCCAATCCCGCGCCGTCCACGTGTCCAGCGCTGTCAGCGCCGCTTGCGCCATGCAGAGTCCACAACGGCAGCGCGGCGTCCCTCGGCTAGACCGGTACTTTGTGGACGAGCTCTCTAATCAGAGCAGCTACCCGCTAGCCGCTAGCCACTAACCACTAGCCGTCAGCGCCGCTTGCGCCATGAAGGCAACGACGAGTCCTTTGTACTAAAAGACAGGCTACACGCACTTGAATGGGAAGATATTCACGAAGCGCACTTCGAATGTCAGCGCTGTATGCGCCATGGCGTCAGGGATGTCTTCACTTGAGACATTTCCTGCAGTTTGGCTGGGGAGGGAGTATCCCGGTTAAGAAACGATTCGCACATGTTTAGAGCGTGCAGGGAAATTATGGCGGTGAAAAAAAAACGACAATCTTCTCATTCTGCTTTTTTCCAGTAGTTGATTTCATTGTTGATAAAATCTTATGGATTTGTCATAATTGAACACATGTCCCATTCAAAACTGTATCCGTACGATTGAAGGATGCTTGTAATTTATATAAGGTACAAAGCTCAGCATTGTCGACAAATTATAGGCCACTAGTACGATATGCTTGTACATAACCAAGGCAAGAGGTAATCCGCATGAACCAACAAAAGCTCCTTATGAGGACGCAAACTGGTCAGCAGGCACTGAGCTGATACCCGTGATTTGATTCACCTCGCAGTGCAGAATGTGCTTCTCCCCCCTGATCACCGCATACATGGCGTTCGGTGCGATATAGTCACATGTGCGCTCGATACAGAACTCCTCCCCAGGCACCTGGTTTCCAGAGTGAATCTGCACCCCTGTGATGACGGCATAGTCCGCTGTAGTGGGGTCGACTGTAAGGGAGATGAGGTTCTCGAGATCGTCTGTGATGGCTTGCAGGGCGGCGCGCGTCACTTGCACCAAGGAAGGAGCTCCAGAAGATGGGGGGATCTGTTGAGAGGGAGGGAGGGGGGGGAGGGGGAGGGAAAGGGGGTGTAGGAAAGTGATGGGATGGCGACTGTAGAAAATGAGGGAGATGGGACTTTCGAGGCCTGAGGGCTTTAAGAGTCACTTGCACGAGGTAGGGACCTCCAGCAGTAGGGGGGATCTGAAGGGGGTAATTTGGTGGATTGGAGGAAGGGAGACAAAGGGGGGAGGGGGGGGGGGGGGGAGAAGGGGGATTTGGGGGAAGGAAAGGGGGGAAAGAAAGGGAAGGGGGTTTCGCTCTGGTAGAAGGATGCAAGGCTTGAGGACTAAGCAGGCATGAAAATGGAGGTAGAAAATGGAGGTAGAAAATGGAGGTAGAAAATGGAGGTAGAAAATGGAGGTAGAAAATGGAGGTAGAAAATGGAGGTAGAAAATGGAGGTAGAAAATGGAGGTAGAATTATGCAGACGCCCTCCTCACGCATATATCCAGAAGCCATTGGCGGTGGGTGGACAGTGCACTGGCAGTTAGGTGGTGGGTGGGTGGACAGTCCATTGGCAGAAGTTCCCGTCACATCCATTCATCCCCTTTCATCTCTCCCTTCTTCGCTTCTTTCCTTTCTTCTCTCTTCCTCCACTCGATCCATGTTCTCACTCGTTTTAACGCGCCCCTTTCACTTGACTGGCTCTCACTCCCAAAGTGTCTGACATCTCAACGTTCGAGTGGAAAATCTCTCGGTTGGGCCTTCAGCCTCCCTACAGAATTTCCCAGGCCCTATCAATTATTGTCTGCGCAACGCACACCCCCGCACCCCCATCCTCATCTCCCCTAGATCCCGATATTACATTCCTCCACACTCCTCCTATCCCCTTTCTCCCTTGCTCTCAGCACTTACCTTCGCAGAGATCTTCCTCCTGAGAAGCGCGTTTTCCGCGATAATGCAGTAATGCATCAATGCATCCCGCGCGTTGATGCAGTTGTGCATTCCCCCACATTCCCATCCCCATCTTCCTCTACTTTCACCAGCAGTCCCATCTCAGCTCGTACCTTAGCAGCAATCTTCTTCTTGAGAAGAACGTATTCCGCGTTGTTAGGGTCGTCCTCGATCTCCCCCCCGGCAGCGATGTCGCCCTTGATGGCGATCAGCGCTCCGCACGCCGACGACGGCTTGCCACGCCCACGGCGCAGCAGCGACCCCACCTCGCCGCTCTCGCCCACGGACACGTGGGGGAAGCCGAAAAAGATGTCTGGAGGAGAAAGAGAAGACACGAGGGAAGACACGAGAATAGGGACACTGAGACCCTGCTGACGGCACGCCGCTGCTACGCCTGAGCAGTGCGCCCACCTCGCCGCTCTCGCCCACGAGTACGTGGGGGAAGCCGAAGAAGATGTCTGGCGGGGAAAGAGAGATGAGTGGCGCATGTGCTGAGAGATGAAGGGCGCATGTGCTGAGAGATGAAGGGCGCATGTGCTGAGAGATGAAGGGCGCATGTGCTGAGAGATGAAGGGCGCATGTGCTGAGAGATGAAGGGCGCATGTGCTGAGAGATGAAGGGCGCATGTGCTGAGAGATGAAGGGCGCATGTGCTGAGAGATGAAGGGCGCATGTGCTGAGAGATGAAGGGCGCATGTGCTGAGAGATGAAGGGCGCATGTGCTGAGAGATGAAGGGCGCATGTGCTGAGAGATGAAGGGCGCATGTGCTGAGAGATGAAGGGCGCATGTGCTGAGAGATGAAGGGCGCATGTGCTGAGAGATGAAGGGCGCATGTGCTGAGAGATGAAGGGCGCATGTGCTGAGAGATGAAGGGCGCATGTGCTGAGAGATGAAGGGCGCATGTGCTGAGAGATGAAGGGCGCATGTGCTGAGAGATGAAGGGCGCATGTGCTGAGAGATGAAGGGCGCATGTGCTGAGAGATGAAGGGCGCATGTGCTGAGAGATGAAGGGCGCATGTGCTGAGAGATGAAGGGCGCATGTGCTGAGAGATGAAGGGCGCATGTGCTGAGAGATGAAGGGCGCATGTGCTGAGAGATGAAGGGCGCATGTGCTGAGAGATGAAGGGCGCATGTGCTGAGAGATGAAGGGCGCATGTGCTGAGAGATGAAGGGCGCATGTGCTGAGAGATGAAGGGCGCATGTGCTGAGAGATGAAGGGCGCATGTGCTGAGAGATGAAGGGCGCATGTGCTGAGAGATGAAGGGCGCATGTGCTGAGAGATGAAGGGCGCATGTGCTGAGAGATGAAGGGCGCATGTGCTGAGAGATGAAGGGCGCATGTGCTGAGAGATGAAGGGCGCATGTGCTGAGAGATGAAGGGCGCATGTGCTGAGAGATGAAGGGCGCATGTGCTGAGAGATGAAGGAGCGCATCAGCACGTGACGAGGAGATGAGAGCCGCATGCGACATGAAGGACGGAGAAGGCTCGGCCGCCCAGTGTTGATGGTGTGCGAGGGAAAGACAGCGAGCCATTGAAGCCCGCCTGTGTCATAGCCCAGCCCGAACTCGGGCCTATTCACGATAGGGTTACCACTTACATCTTTCGCGAGGCTTGCCGTCTGTTTCGCAGGGGAACTCGGGCGAGTGGCTCATGGCGGCCTTGAACCCCGTCTTGCCGCAGTTGACGAGCCCGCCCAGCCCGGAGATGTTAAAGCTGAGCCCGAACTCCTTGTCGATCAGGTTGACGATGGGACGGCACACCTCGTCGCGGCACGTGTTGACGAGCGCGATGCAGTTGTCGCGCTTAAAGCCCAGGTTGCGCAGCTCGTCGGCGACGGCGTGCATGAACGTGTCCTCCTGCATCGCGTTGGGGAAGGTGGCTGCCATCGTCGCCAGGGCCGCTGGGGCAGCCTGTGCAGGGGTGGGGGTAATGTGAAGGGAAGGGAAGGGAGGGGAGGGGAGGGGAGGGCAGGATGAGATTCAAGACTTGATTGACCCAAGAGAGGCACATCCTTAAAGCCCAGGTTGCGCAGCTCGTCGGCGACGGCGTGCATGAACGTGTCCTCCTGCATCGCGTTGGGGAAGATCGCCGCCATTGTGGCAAGCGCAGCGGGGGCAGCCTGTCAAGGGAAGGTGGTAGCGGGAGAGGGGTATACACCGAGGGAGGAGGGGGATGGGGGGATAATGTTGCAGCCATAATCAGTCTAGGCAGTCAGTTGGATATCGGTAAAGCTCACACCGCGTTCCGACACGAGTCCTTGCGCATCGCGCGTGGGAAGGTCGTCGCCGTGACCACTCCTTAATTCCCATTACAGAGTAATGTGAAGGTGGCAATATTCATTGAGGCGAGGCGACGGACGTTATCGATCTCAAAATGAGTGAATTAGTTTTGCGAAATACTATCAGACAAAATGAGTGACCCAGCTCGCAGCTTACCCTCTTAGCACGTGGGATGGCAGCGCCATTAGCGGCGGTTCCCGCCGCTGACGTGGCACTCGACGCCGGCTTTGTCGCCTTCGACACGAGCGCGAAGGTCGCACCGCCCAAAACTCCCGCGCCGAGAATCGCGGGCACGATGACTCCCCCTGGGAGAGAAGCGGGAGCGGAAGGCGCTGCGGCAGTGGACTCGGCGACGCTCGCGAAAAGCGTCTGCGACGCCTGCGAGACGGCAGATTCGTTGCCGCTGGTGGAAGCTGCGACGAGGACTGGCGCAGAGCGACGGGCAGGCTGAGCGTTGGGCGCAGCCTTGGACTGTGCGGGAGCAGCGGCGCGGAGGCCTGAAAACGCAGGGATAGTGCTGCGTAGAGCCGCCATTTCGTCGGCGCGAGCGGTAAACGGGCCGAGTTGGCTACCTTGCCGCAGCGTGGGGGGAATTTGAGAGTAGGCTGACGCACTGACTACACAATGACTGTACGTGGCTGGTGTTGCTTATCAGTGACTTGACATAGTACGAGCAGGAGGTATTGTAGAGCTCGGTCTAGCGAGGGAGTGAGGCTGTGAGACAGTTGAGGGATGCCTAAGCAAAATTTTCGCGGGAAAACCGAAGGTTCTGCTTCCCAGCTTCAAACACTCACCTGGAGATACCATGCCTCCGGGACACGTGTCATAGTTATACAGGCTCTGAGGCTTAGCGAGATAGGCGACGTCGTGAAGGAGGCCATAAGAGTGTTCGGACTGGATGCGACAGCCAGCGACTTTCCTTGGGAGTAACATCAAACCGTTCACGAGTCGCGGCCCTGCGTAGCTTGAGAGGCAAGGGTTGCCGCTTTGTGGAAAGGTTCATGATCGCGTGGCAGTGTCCCCCTCGACTCATGGTCATTCCTCAGATCCGCCATTGAAGATTCACGAATATGGATGCTCACGTGGCACATAGTTCTGGCCTGCGAAGAAGTAGGCGCACGTGGAAATGTGCGGCTGCAAGCTCAGCTATTACACGTTGGATATTCTCGACACAGAACCCTCGGTTAATATCTTAGGAGGGAAATCATAGACAAAGAACTCACCATACTTCAGTATACCAAGAATTCATCACCAACTCATTGTTTCAACGGAGCCTTCTTCACTCGGTCAGCTATCCTTGCTGGTCCATCAACGTGGGACTTGAATCTTCCACGGCCCTCCTCTTCCGTCTCCTGCACGTTAAAACAGGAAGTACAAAACAAGCCAACACCATATGAGCGAAACCGTTATGCAGGCCCTTTCCCTAACAGCATCCCAGCAGGACACACTTATCCATTACCTTCTTTTTCACGATCTGCACGACATCTTCATCTTGCAGAACGTGCCCCAGGCCACAGCGCTGCGGCTGGTGCTTGACGCTTACGCCCCAGCAAAGCACATACTTCACGTCCTTGAGCAACCCCCTGTGAATGTGGTCACAAAAGTCCCGCACTGTGCATCCGCCACGATCCTGGGGAGCGGAGGGGATGAGGAAAACAGGAGAGCAGAGAGGTCAAAACTGGCACTCACTAGACACTCTAGCATGAAGTGGATTTGGAGGGCAGAATCTCAGAAATCTGAAAGAGCAAGTGCTTCAAACATGTATTGGGGGGTGGTTGGCAAGGTCACTTCAACTTGTGCAGGTGAGAGCACTCACAGTGGAGAGCACAACAGGGTCGGCAAAATCGGGCTGCTGCCCCTGTGGCTTTGTGTACACACGAACAAGACCCATCTCCTCCCACATGCGCGCCAAGAGATGGTCCATGTTCAACTGGAAAGGGGGGGGGGGGGGAGAGAACAGGAGGAGAATGCAGGTGATAGTGAGAGGAGGAGTGGGACATGCACCATACTGGACGAAACTAATCCCCCTCATCTCCTCCCACATGCGCACCAAGAGATTGTCCATGCTGGGCTGAGGGGGGGATGGTGTTGCACAGCTCAGGGGAAAAAGAGAAACAGATGCAGAAGGAAAATGGTAAGAGGAGGAGACAGCAGGTGCAGGATACGCATGGGGCCCACTGCCATGTGCGCAGAGCCTTTAGATGGCCCGTGTCGAGCTTAGGGAAGGTGGGTTGGGTGACCGTGGAGAATGAAGGCTGAATACAGCCTCCGCAAGGCTGGAGGGGACGGAATGAGTCAGGGAGGCGACTCCCTTGCGGAGGACACACAGCCGACCATCGAGTTGACTGAAAGGAAACTACAACCTCACCTCCAGATTTGCTGAGATGACCACAGAGTGGGGCTGTCTCGCCAGCCGATCCACATCGTCTATCCCCATGACGTCGATCTTGTTGTACACATACAGGCACCGGATGTACTTCCGGTTGCCTTCAATCACATCGATTAGATCGTCCACAGTGCTGTCCTCGCGGAATAGCACCTGGGGTACGAGGGGATTCAGTACAAGCACATTCGATATAAGCACATCTTGTCATCCACAGTGATGTCCTCGCGGAATAGCACCTGCGATGTAAGGGACATTCCATACAGGAACATCCGTTCTACGCACACATCTTCTTGTAAAAGATGCACTAGATTTACTTCCGGTTGCCCATGATCATGTTGATTAGGTCGTCCACAGCGCTGTCCTTGCGGAATAGCACCTGCCACTTGGGAAGACTCGATAAAATCACATTCGGTACAAGCACGGATCGTTGTGCACGAAGATTCCTGGCAGAGCTTCCCGTCTGTGCGCAGGGCACATGGGCAGTCACTGTGTGTCTTGTGCACAGTCGACAAGCTGTGCGCTCACATGCATGCTCTGTGTGTCGTAACCACACAACCGCACACGCCCCCAGTCACCTCAGCGCCACGGATCTTCCACTCAGGCTCTGGTGGCACAGCTTCTCACAGCACTATGTGAGTCAGAGGGGCACTTGCTTTGACTGCGTATTATGTAATCTATAGACTCACGGCAGCAGACGACGCACACATACATACAACTCCCCCCCCTCACCCCCTCTCACAAACACGCTGCACGAGAGGCCCACCTCAGCATTATGGATCTTGTACTTGTGCAGGGTCTGGTAGCACAGCTTCTCGTCTATGTGCGAGAGAGGTGCACTCACACTTGCATCTCGTGTTCCAGGCTTTCACACACCCCCCCCCCTCCCCCTTCTTCCCCCCCGACACACGCAGCAACAGAGACTCTCCTCAGCGTTGTGGATCTTGTACACGTGCAGAATCTGGTAGCACAGCTTCTCGTCTATGTGCGAGAGAAGTGCCCTCACCCTTGCAAATCGTACTCCAGACTCTCCCCCCCCTCACACACACACACAGCACACGAAACCCACCTCAGCGTTGTGGATCTTGTACTCGTGCAGGATCTGGTAGCACAGCTTCTCGTCTATGTGCGAGAGAGGCCCCGTGGAGTTGAAGGAGATGCCCCCCGTCTTCTTCTTCTTGAAGTAAATCTGATGGGGAGGGGGGAGGGGGAGGGGGGAAGAGGGGGAAGGGGAGAGGGTGCAACGGGTTATGGAGGAGTGTGCTTTTGGGTCGACTCAGAAGCACATATGAGGCCCGGTGGAGTTGAAGGAGATGCCCTCCGTCTTCTTCTTCTTGAAGTAGATCCGACGGGGGGGAAGAGCGGGGAAGGGGGAGGGGGAGGGGGAGGGGGAGGGGGAGGGGGGAAGGGAGGGAGGTGGGGAAGGAGTGAGGGAGGGTGCAATGGGTTATGGAGTAGTGTGTGAAGATGTGAGGCCCGGTGGAGTTGAAGGAGATGCCCCCCGTCGTCTTCTTCTTGAAGTAGATGCGAGGCCCGGAGGAGTTGAAGGAGATGCCGCCTGCCCTCCGTCCCCACCCCCTTCGTGTCTGCTGGTTCGGCCACAATCCCTCTGATTCGTTCTACATCCAGCCCATAACTCCAGCACAAAGACCCCCTATCCGCCCCTCCCCACCCTCCCCCCTGCTTCCCCAAACCCCCCCCCCCCCCCCCCCCCCCCCCCCCCTCCCTCTCACATTGGGCGGCTGCTTGTTGAGTCGCAGCCCCACTGGTTCGTTCTACATCCAGCCCATAACTCCAGCACAAAGACCCCCTATCCCCCCCTCCCCACCCTCTCCGCCCTACCCCTGTTCCCCCCGTCTCACATTGGGCGGCTGCTTGTTGAGTCGCAGCCCCACTGACTCGTTTCACGACTCCAGCACAAAGACCCTCTACCCCTCCCTCCCCACTCTCCCCCCACCCTCCCTCCAAACCCCCCCACCCCTCTCACATTGGGCGGCTGCTTGTTGAGTCGCAGCCCCACTGACTCGAGCTCCTTGGTGAGGATCTGACGGTGGGCGTCACTCTGGTAGCAGAGGCAAAGATGGGGGAGGGGGGAGAGAGGAGAGAGGGGAGGAGGAAAGAGGGGGGAGAGGTCAGTTGTCGCAGCCCCACTGAGGATCTGACGGTGGGCATCGCTCTGGTAGCAGGGGCAACGACGAGGGAGAGGGGAGAGAGGGGAGAGAGGGGGGAGAGAGGGGGGAGAGAGGGGAGAGAGGGGAGAGAGGGGGGAGAGAGGGGAGAGAGGGGGGAGAGAGGGGAGAGAGGGGGGGGAGAGGGGGGAGAGGGGGGAGAGAGGGGAGAGGAGCAGGGAGTATGCACAGGCATGGCATGACTAGACGGCAAGTAGGTCGAGACAAGACACTGCAGCCCTGGCGAGGAATTGACGGTGGGCGTCGCTCTAAAAAGTGGACGGGGGAGGGTAGAGGAAGAGTGGGGGCAAAGAGGTTGGAGGGAAAAGGGGGGGGGAGGGGGAGGGGGAGGGGGAGGGGGGTGAAATTTTCTGGTGGATGGAATTTGGAGAGAGATGGGTGGAAAGAGAGTGATAGGAGGGGGGAATGGGTGAGAGGAAGGGACGTGGAAGGAAAAGAGAGACAACGCAAGTCCAGCTTGGAGGCTTAGCACAAGAAGGGGCTACTAAAGTAGGGCTCGTATTGTTCTTGCCACTGCTAGGCTTTAATTTCCGTGTCACTTTGGACGCGTCTAGCACCTCACCTTGGACGCGTCTAGCACCATGAGAGATCTATCAAGCCGTGCAAGGCCAAGGGCTACGTTGAGTTGAGCATCGCTCGATCCTTCCTGTCTAACTCACCTTGGACGCGTCGAGCACCATGAGCACAAGGTCGGATGACTTGGCCACTGCAATGACCTGAGAGGGGGAGGGGTGAGAGAGGAAAAAAGGGAGCGTGACGACGAGACCGAGTGCGCGCACTCACACACACACAACACAGCACACGCTCACCTGTCTCCCCCTCCCCTTCCCCTGCGATGATTCCCAGCAGTTCCAGCAGCTGAATCTTGGTGTCGTTGTAGTTGATGACCCCCAGGATGCACGTCAGTCACTCTCTCCCTCTCTCCCTCTCCCTCTCCCTCTCCCCACTCACTCTCCTCATCAACACACACCCCCACCCACCTGTCTTCCTCTTCCCTTCCCCTGTGACGCCCCCTCAATGATTCCCGGCCGATCCAGCAGCTGAATCTTGGTGTCCTGTAGTTGATAATCCCCAGGAAGCACGTCAGTCACTCTGCCCCTCTCTCCCTCTCCCCTCTCCCCTCTCCCCTCTCCCCTCTCCCCTCTCCCCTCTCCCCTCTCCCCTCTCCCCTCTCCCCTCTCCCTCTCCTCGTCAACACACAGCCACTCACCTGTCTTCCTCTTCCCTTCCCCTGCGACGCGCCCTCGATAATTCCAGGCAGGTCCAGCAGTTGAATCTTGGTGTCGTTGTAGTTGATGATCCCCGGGATGCACGTCAGAGTCGTGAACTCGTACGCGGCCGCCTCTGAGCGCGTGCCCGTGAGCACTGTCAGAAGGGTCGACTTTCCCACGCTGGGAAAGCCGATGAGCGCCACTCGCCCGTGCCCAAACTTGGTCACTTCGAATCCTTCCCCCGCTCCTGACGATCCCTGCAGGTAGGAGGAGGAGGGAGGGGGCAATGGGGGGGGAGGAGTTGGGGGGAGGGCAGGTGGGGGCAGAGCATAGAGAGGAATCCGTATGGTGCAGGGAGGTTAGAGGGAGAGGGGAGCAACGAGTCCCTGTGAACTCGTAGGCAGCCGCAGCAGCCTCTGAGCGCGTGCCCGTGAGCTTGTGAAACGCCTCAAGTGGCAGGAAGAGGGGCAATGTCAGAAGAGGGGAGTTGCCGCCGCTGGGGAAGAGGATCAGAGCCACTCGGACATGCCCAAACCTGGTCACTCCAGAGCCCTCTCCTCCTCCCAGTGAGCCTTGAGGGAAAAGGGAGAGAAAGGGGGAGGTTGGCCACGAGAAAAGGTGCAACGGAAGGAAGGGAAGGGACGATTTGGTTACGGGATCTGTATTCATAAAGGGCGTGGCTTATATGGCGTGCAAGCGCACCTTGGCTGGTTCCAGCAGCTGTGTTCGCAGGCGAGCCAGTTTCGCCTTGAGCTGACCCAAATGGTACTCTGAACGGTGGGGTGACAACAACGAGGGGAGACGAGAAGAATAGAATGAAGCACACGCGTACCAGGACACGAGACATATGAGCATGCGAGCCTGAAGAAGCCTGAATACATGAGCACCACAGCAGATCAAAGTTGACTTCAGAGTCGGCTTAGAAGTCACCTGAGCAGCGTGTCCAGCGATAGATAAGCAGCGTAGCCGATCCACATAGCGTGCACACGACCCGTCCGTGACAACCGTGCAAAAATGCCATCACGCAAGCTGGAGACCATGCGACAATGCGACTGTGCGATCTGTCAACCCATGCGACCATGCGATCATGCGACCCTGTGACCGTGTGACAATGCGACCATGCGACCACGCGATCATGCGACCCTGGAACGACGGGATGATACGACCACGAATTCGTGACATCGTGCGAACATCCGACCAGCAAATGGCTATAGTCGCCATCCTTGTCATAATCGCCGTCGTTCTTCCGCACCCACCAGTGGCTTTATTCTTCTGAGTTCGCGCCATCTCAGTCTCGATCTCCTTGATCCTCTCCAGGACACCCATGGCTGCTACGCTGCTCAGCTGCTGCTCCTATTTGTTGAAGTCGACACAAAAACAGGCTCTGCCTGGCTGGCTGCACTGCCTGCTACTCTGCCTGGCTGCACTCCCTTAAAGACTCTCGATTCGACTACGAGGCAATCGCCGAATCGGATCGACGGTTGAAAGTGATCAATGGTCCAAGGATTGATCGACGGTCGAGATTCATCAACGGTCTGGAGATTGATCGCCGACCAATACTGACGGACTTATCAGCAAGTCTGGAGAGCTCTGGATGAAGTACACAGGTGGTCAACGCGTCCTTTCCACGTCGAATCTATCAGCGAACCGCCACGGCAATGTTTACGGCTCAGCAGCACTAACGAGGCTTGGGAGAGCCTGGGAAGCCGAGCCTGTAGTCGATGGGGTAATGTGTGGTGATGATGATGAGGAGGTTCAGGGGGTATTGTACGCGTTATCGTGTGGAAATGCAAACCGAGGCTGTATGGTGTGCATCGGAAAATGTATATCGTGCTATAGATGCATGCTTCGCCACGATAATTTCCGTTCAGGGCGTTTGCTGGACTAAGGGGGTGTGGAAAGTAGGATGGGCGTTTGACACACAACATTTTGCAGGCACGGGGATTGGCCACAGACCCACGGCTCCTTTCATCCGCTCGTCCGTTCGTTGGTGCTCTACTTTCCACGCGCCCTGAGGGCGCGTCTCTTTTTCGCAAACACGGCCCATTCCGAACATATGTTGGGGATGGGAATTTCGCAAAGGTTTCGCGAAGAGCGAACATGCTCGGAAAATCAGGCCGACCAAACAAGTGGTGTGGAGGTTGGGGGGAAGGGGGAGCGGAAAGGCTGCCCAGAAGGCCCAATGAAATTGCAGCCGAATGTGCGCGACCTGGGTGCGGCTCGACAAAATATTACGCTGGTCGCGGATTTACCCAGCTCTGTTGCACGCACGTTGTGCATGCGTGCGCGGAGTGGTGATGTCACTGGTGCCAAACACTGCTGGCGAAGTGCTGGCGGGGTTCGCAAAAATTGTTACTTTCAAAAACGGCCCTTGTTCGCTTCGTGTTCACAAAAGAGAGACACGCCCTAACGCCCTGAACGGAAATTTGAAGCGCACAACTCTACCATCTTTCCTTGGACCAAGCTTGAAACACGCCCAGCATTTAGGTGCCTTTTTTGGTGTGCTCAATTAGTACCCTGCCACCTACGGTCGCAGCGCGTGCCTAGAGTCGACTGCGCTGATTAAATCTCCGCCCGCTTTGCCTTTTCCCGGTTAGCCCCCCACCTGTCGTTCGTTCAACCTGTCTGGTCCAGTAGTCGTGCGAAGCTGCTCACCGCCCTCGCCGCGATGAGTGCTATGAAGTTTTGTCGCGAATGGTGGGTCGTCTCTGCCCAGCCATTCTGCCGTATCGTTGCCGTCTCGTCTTTTTCCCTCGTCTCGTTCGCTCAGTCGCTCGAAATTCTCCTTGCGTCCAATACTCGCTGTTCGCTCCTAACCGTTGATTCGTGAAGGTCTCACGTTTATGCGCCTTCTCGTCACACTGCGTTTGCCAGCCTAGCATACCAAAGCTTGTTGGACATGGCGGGAGTCCTGTCCATATTAGACCTTATATGTCCTTCCATATCCCGTTACAAACCCGCCTTTCCAATGCTTCCCCTTCTGCAACCCTGCGTTACACATTTACCCTATTCCTGCTCCTGCGGAATCCTCGCTTGTTCCGTTCCCTCCCCTTCCTCGGACCTTTTCGTTACTTTTGTCTCCATATGGTATGCAGTAACAACATCTTGTATCCAAGAGAAGATAGAGAGAGACGTGTACTGCTATATGCCTGCAGAAACTGCGACCATCAGGTGCTTGACCCTAATTCTTTGCTCTTCCTTCCCTGTCACGTTTGCATGGTGTCTATCTGGGGTTCTGAAAAATGAATCCACGCCTACACTGTTAGATGTTCCTTTTCTCAACCTACAACTTCTCCCTTTCTTCGTGTGTGTTCTCACCAACAGGAAGCAGCAGAGAACAACTGTGTGTACCGCAATGAAGTGCATCACACTGCAGATGAGAGAACACAGATCCTTCAAGATGTAACAGCAGATCCCACTCTTCCTCGCACGAAGGCAGTACGCTGTGCCAAATGTGCACATGGGGAGGCTGTATTCTTTCAGGTATGGGCCCCAGCAGATTCTTTTGCTAATTGCAACTGCTCTCAGTTGGTTCACCACATCGCTTCATGTACTATTTGGTTGTCCTTCCTCAATGAATGACATGCAGGCCACAAGTCGTGGAGAGGAAGGCATGACCCTATTTTTTGTCTGCTGCAATCCAAACTGTGGGCATCGGTGGCGAGACTAGCCGTGGCAAGACTGTGTTGTGTTACACCTTTATATGCAGTCCTGATTAGATCTGCAATGCTTCACTTAACACAATATATAACAACACTTTCTAGTGCTCCACGAGCAGGACCGCACACTGAAGAAGCTACCATCAACCCAAGGTCGTATGAAAGCTACATCAATTCGTCCTGTCCACGAAATTCAAGCCAAACATGGCAAATGCTATGCTTTGGAGAAAGAGGAAGATAGAATAGTCCCAGCGGTCTTCCACAAAAATCGCGTAAATTCCAGCACCAAAGATGAATGCAGCCATACCCAGTTCCCTCTTGTATATTCTGCAAGCGAGTCAAGGAATGAGGAGGTTATGGATGAAACGTGGAACAGAGAAACAGCGTGTGCGCTTGTGGCGGTAACTCACGTGCGGTTGAACCTGGAGCTCTTTGGATTCTTGGGCTGCGTCTTTTCAGCTCCTTGCTTCACCAGGCTTTCAGAAATGACGGGAAGACTCAGACTATGTGGAATGGCTCCAGCCTTACCCAGATACTTCGCCAGCCCTGTCTTTGCAGTTGCTGCATCAGTCTGGACCCAGTTCCCAAGCTTCTGGGTTACGACCCATGAATGTGCCGTAGATAGCCCAGAATTCCGGAGACCATGGCGGAAAATTTGACAATGCTCATGGCATTCTCAAATAGAACGAATGGTATGGCGTACAGCCAAGACCTAGGACAGCACCCAATGTTGTCATAACAGAATGTAAAGAAGGACAAAACAGTCGTGATAACGAGTCTTACCTTGGAGTGAAGGCAACAGTTGAGATAGTCACCAGTATTGGCACGTAAACCAAAGCCCAATAAGGAATTGTCACCTCTGGAGCCACCACACAGATGGGTACCAATGTGCAGTAGAATACAAACGATACAATATGGGTGGCAAACAGCCTTGTTCCAAAGAAGAAGCAATTAAGGTAGATCTTTTGAACAAGTGGAATCTGAAAAGACGAAAGCACTGTCAGAATGACCGAGGTAAAGAGGAACGACTGGGGTAGCTAAAGAACTAACCTCGGACTCCCAGACTTGATCCATCGCTTTCCTCCAAAGCTGCATTGGTCCACCGCTCCAACGGTGCTGTTGGTGCCTGAAAGCTGCATATGTTGATGGGATCTCGTTAACACACTGCACACATACAGAGAGAAGCATTAGTAAAAAGGTATTTGTAAAAGAGAACAAAGTCATGTTGACTTACTGTTACGTCATTCAAGAAAATAAACTTCCAGCCTCTAACATAAGCTCGTAGAGAAAGGTCCATGTCTTCAACCGTTGTTCTGTTGTTCCAACCGCCCGCATCCTTGATTGCAGAAAGCCTCCATACTCCAGCAGTTCCTGCAGCAAAGCAAATGTGCACAGTAAGTAACGGAGGTACGGCAGGAAAATGGACAACATGACAGGTACCATTGAAGTTGAAGAAGTTGCCCGTGGCAAATCTGGCATATTGTTCACACTTCAGGTGATAGTTCAGTGAGATCTCTTGGACTCGAGTCAAAACGGACTCATCCGCATTGGCAAACACCCAGCGCGCTTGAACAAACGCAGCCCGTGGATTGTCCTGAAAGTTACCCGAGAGGGTGAGAGCTTGGCCTCCTAAAATTAAAGAAAGCACGACAGAGGACTTACAATAAGGTATGGGATTGTCTTAAGGAGGAAACCAGGCTCTGGACTAAAATCCGCATCAAAAATAGCCGTGAATTCGTAGTCTCCAAGAGCCTTTTCAGCCTCAATCATCGCACCGGCTTTGTATCCTTGCCGATTGGACCGCCAGCGGTCCTCGATATGAATTCCAAGGGCTACCTTCTCGGCCACTACAGAAGGGAGAACAAGCAGGTCGCTATGTTATTCGTCTAGAAAGCGGCACATGGTCAAATCATCCAAGATCTTAATGCACGCGAAGTATTACAATACCTTTCTTAATCACCCTGCTGCGAGTGATAGGGCAGGTCGAGTCATCCAAGACCTGAATGTAAAGGCGATCGCTTGGCCATATCAAGTTGCAACATGCGTCAATCACTTGTTCGCACACCTGTAGAAAATGAAGAAAAGCGCGTCAAGTAGATAATTGGAATATAACTTAGCACGAGCGATTCGAGACAAGCTCTCACCTCCTTTTCGTTGAACATTGGAATCTGCACGACAACTTTGGGAAACGCTTGAGAACAGGCCGCCGGATCTGGCAGGGGGTTTGCCTCGAAGGCCTCCTCTGGGCGTTTCTTCGAAAACCTCCAGTACAATGCGACGTAGAAGTGGAATAGACGGTCCGCAGCGACTAGCGACGACAGGAATGCAGTAACTCCCACAAGTAATTGCAGGACGGGAGAGAAGAAGTTTATGCGAACCTCCCTGCCTTTGACCATCGCGACCACCAGATGACCCTTAGCAGTGTCCATGTGTTTCTTCATCGGACCATTGTCACCCAAGAGATGAGTGAGGTAAGGCTGGCCATGAAGAATGAGGAGGGCGAGAGCGCAGACTGACACAATTGCCACCGGCACGATGGCTGCCCCCCGAGCAAGCATCTTGCCGCGGGTAGTATGACAACCCTCTTCTGTCGTGCCTCCAGCAGTAGACACGACTCAGATAGCAAGAGCAGCAGCTACAAGCCGAATTCGGTAAGGCAGACTGCATGAGTGAAGTCTGTTGCTTGCTCCTTGAAATGCGAAAGCTAGTTCGGGGTGTGCCGAATGTGGCAATCCCTTGGGATTCAGTGCACTGCGCACTTCATAGGGGGCTCCGCGCAGCTTTCGAATTCCTAGGGAATCAAATACACATCCCAAGAAACTCACATAGAATCTCAAACGTGAAATTACAATACCATTCCAAGCATGCATCAATTCAATATCGAAGGTGTAAATTGATATTCTATATTAGTGGTTCCTTTTACTGGGAGCCAAGGGAAGTCTACTAGGCGCGCTACTGAACCTTCCAACACTAACTCACTTGGCAGTTGGCGCATCTTGGACAATGCTCTGTCTCTTTTGTAGTCAACATTTCTGGGATTGTCAACTACCCTAAAGAAAACCATAAGCGTTTGACGATCCACACTATTTTCACCTCCTATAAGACTCCTACATTGTGTCAAACATGCGTTGAGGTGCAAGCTCGTAGTCCTCATGCTCCCCGTACCGAACATTGCGCTCACGCGCATGCACCTGCAATGCGACCAACGCACATGGGAGGACACCAGATGCATTAGACGTGCAAAATCGGGGAGGAGGAAGAGAAGGGAGTTGAGTGAGGAATGAGAAGGTGCATGCGGCATGTGTGAGTGAGAGCACAAGGTGCATGGCACTCACAGCGTGGCCAATCAAAGAGCTTGAAACAGACGGAAAGTGGGCAGTGTGCACGCACCCGTGTGAGGTACGTTCGGTCTGAAGAGATCTGCTCGTGCACCAGCGCCAGCTTCTTGGACAGCTTAGTGGATCTGCACACCCGCAGTGAAGCAACCGCGGAACAACAGAGAAACAAAAGTGGAGCAACAGTGGATCAACAGTACAGCAGAAAGCAGAGGCTGACGAGCAGTGAGAAGGACACACTATAGGGTGAAGTACATAAACTCTGTCTGAATGCGCCGCTCACCTCTGGTCTGGATGTGGCCAGCTAGTCCTACTTCTCCTTGTCCTCATCTGAATGCGGGCCCGCAATCCCTGATATGCCTCTCACCTCACCTATCACTGTACCACTAGCGGATCCTCTTACAAGTTACAACTCACCTCTGGATGTGTTCCTCCACCACGGCAGCCATGGCCAGCGAGTCGTACTTCTCAGGGTCCTCCTCAAAGCTCACCATGCCCGCCTGCTGGTCTATGTGAGCGAACATCTCCCCATCCGCTATCTGCCAGGCAGGCGCACAGTTACATGGGGAGCAGGAGAACAGTGACAGGCACCAACTCTGTTACCGTGTTACACATCAATGAAGCCACCAGCTCACCATGCCCATGCCCTCCTTCTCGTCAATCCACGCAAACATCTCCCCATCCGCCGTCTGATAAACGCATGGTTATGGCGACAAGGGGGGCGCATGCATGCGCACAAGGAACGGTGATGGGTCATGGGGGGTGCATGGGCACAAGGGGGGCGCATGCATGGGCACAAGGAACGGTGATGGGTCATGGGGGGTGCATGGGCACAAGGGGGGCGCATGCATGGGCACAAGGAACGGTGATGGGTCATGGGGGGTGCATGGGCACAAGGGGGGCGCATGCATGCGCACAAGGAACGGCGATGGGTCATGGGGGGTGCATGGGCACAAGGTGGGCACATGCATGGGCACAAGGGGGGCGCATGCATGGGCACAAGGGGGGTGCATGCATGCGCACAAGGGGGGCACATGCATGCGCACAAGGAACGAAGGTGATGGGCGCATGCATGAGACAACGGTGATGGGTCACACAGAAGGCCTTTGCGTCGACCTTCACCTTGCCCACCTGGTGTGTGTGAGGCGCTGAATGCTTCTGTTGCCATGGGGAGAAGCTAAATTACCTTATGGGTTAACCAAACGACTCACCATTGAGAGAAGGCACTTCTCAGGCTCAGCAGGGGAGGAGAGGTGAACAGATTGAGTGAGGTCGGTCGGAGAGTGAGAGAGTGAAGTAGGTGTGGGTAAGGCGCTGAATGCTTCACTTAGAATTGCGAGGAATCCTCACCATGGAAAGAAGGTACTTCTCAGCCTCCGCAGGGGAGGAGAGGTGCACGGATGACGCGAGGTCGGAGAGTGAGAGAGTGAGGTACGTGTGGGTGAGGCGTTGAATGCTGCGCCTGGGAACAGAGGCGACCACCTGGTGGGCCAGGCCCAGGTTGTTGTCCTGAGAGGGGAGAGGGGAGAGTAAAGGATACGAGAGACGGAGGAGAGAGGAGCGAAAGGTTGTTGCATGCCTAAGGACCGCTTGAGGAGAGAGGAGGAGAGTTGAGAACAGACAAGAGAAACAAGGAAAGATAGGGGCTGAATGCTGTGCTTGGAGACAGAGGCGACCACTTGGTGTGCCAAGCCCAAGTTGTTGTCCTGAGAGGGGGAGAGAGGAGGTGAGAGGAGGGGAGAGGAGGGGGGAGGAGGGAAGAGGGGGAGAGTGAGAGGAGTGAAGGTGGTAGTGAGAGGGACAAAGAGACTACCATGTGAGTGAGAAAGGTGGAGCCAAAGTTGACATCTTCAGCTTGATGGTTTTTGAGGCGCCTCAAAAGTGAGACAGGCGGAGCCGAAGTTGACATCTTCAGCATGACGGTTGCCATGGCTGCTGTACGAGTGAAGAGAGCAGGGCAACGAGAGCAGCACCAGGTGACTTTTGAGCCGACTCAAAAGTCACCTCTTTTGAGCCGACTCAAAAGTCACCTTGTTGACATCTTCAGCGTGACGGTTGCCAGGGCCGCAGTAAGAGTAAAGAGAGCGGGGCAACGAGAGCAGCACCAGCAGTGTACTCCTTCGAAGCGAGTCTAACTACTTTGTGGCATACACAGAACAGAACTGAAGTGAACAGAGCAGAACAGAACAGAACAGAGCAGAACAGAACAGAACAGAACAGAACAGAACAGAGCAGAGCAGAGCAGAGCAGAGCAGAGCAGAACAGAGCAGAGCAGAAGAGAAGAGAAGAGAAGAGAACAGAACAGAACCGAACTGAACAGAACAGAACAGAACAGAAGAGAAGAGAACAGAACAGAAGCGAACAGAAGAGAACAGAAGAGAACAGAAGAGAACAGAACAGAACGGCTGAGGCAAGGCATGCACTCACGGCCTTGAACGCTTGCTCGTGAGAATCCACAAACTTCTTGAGCTCTGCTGCATCGCGAGACGAGTAGATGCTGGCCAGATCGTGGTAGTCCTGCGAGGAGGAGGAGGGGGGACAGAGGGGGGAGGGGGACGTGGGGGGGAGAGGAGGGGGAGGGGAGGGATGACGTAGATGATTAGGAAAGGATCGGTGGAGGAGTGCAGCTGCATTGCGAGACGAGTAGACGCTGGCCAGATCGTGGTAGTGCTGCGAGGAGAGGGGGGGGGGGAAGGGGGGAAAGGGAGAAATGGAGTAGGACAAATGGGTATTGGAGGAGGACTTTGAAATGGTTGGATGCGGTCCAGATGGTGAGAGTCCTAAAAGATTGGGAGTAGAGATAAAGGGTTCGTTGCCAAAACCATTGAATTACAGGTTAGTACGCTGTAGCCATTACAGAGCTCCAAAAGAACCTGGTCAGTTAGCATGCTTAAATTGCCAAAGCACAATAAGCATGCTTTATTTGCAAAGGCACAATTAGCGTGCTAACTGACCAAGTTTGTTGGGAGATCAGTGCCGACGACTAGAGTGCACAAACCTGTGGATAGGTTAGAGAGGTAAGGCAACTTCGGACACATTTCTGGCAGTGCGCCCTGAACCCCCGCTGCGCAATGCCTGGTGTGAACTTGGGGGGGCCGACAGCTGCTCTTGAGGCAAGGGCAAGACGTCCCAAGATTGCATGCAGTATAGGAGAAGGACGCTGGCATCACCATGTGATGCACCTCAACTCACGCACTAGCTGGTACCTGGCAGCACACCTTGAGCCCTCTCTGCACGATCCCTGGTGTGAACTTGGGCAGAGGCGATAGCTGCTCGTGAGGCAAGTGAACCATCTTAATGTGCTAAGACAATGCCAGATGCGATGTGAGTACGCACGTGACATCACCATGCGACCCACCTCAACACACACCCACGAGCCCATACCTGGCAGCACGCCTTGAGTCCTCGCTGGACGATGCCTGGAGTGAACTTGGGCAAAGGCGATAGCTGCTCGTGACGGCCCATGGGGGGAGATTGATGTCAGGGGTGAGGATGGGGGGAGAGAGGGACGGGGGTGAGGTACGGAAGAAGGGGTTTGCCTTGCCAGCTTCTAGGGAAAAGAATGCAGAAGCAATGGGAACGAAAGCCTGCTTGCTGACCCTCGTCGTAACCTTGGTGACGCAACACCCATCGCGCATGCAAGGAGCGACATGCACACTTCTTACTTGAGCGTGCAGGATGAGCGAGACCAGTGCGTGCCTCTTATACGCCGCCACTGTGATGGCATTTACACTCTGGGCTGGAGATGTGATCGCCTGGGGAGAAGAGGATGGGGTTTGGCGGGTGGGGGTTGGGGGTTGGGGGGAAGGGGTGGCAGAAGACGGTTTATTTAGGGAGGGGCGATGGGGACGTGATGGGATTTAGGGGCGAACGGAGATAAGAATGCAAGGCGAAGGCGTTGATAGTTCAGAAGCGTGATTGGGTGACTTGCATTGCAATTAGCCTGAGGAATAAGGGCGCGGCGGGTGGTGATTGCATGACGTGCATGACATGCACACGACATGCATAATGGCCTTCATGCATTAAGTCTATCACATGCATGAAGCTCACTCACTCACACGCATCCCACTCACACGAATCCCGCTCACATGCATGAATCCCGCTCACATGCATGAATCCCGCTCACATGCATGAATCTCACTCACATGCATGAAGAGGTCTAGAGCCTTCTGGTACTTCTTCAGGCCCACATAGATGGTGCCCCTGCAGGGGGCCACAGGCACGAACGGGGAGGGAAGAGGACGGAGAAAGAGGAGGAAGAGGACAAGGAGGAGCGGGAGAAGTGGCCTAGATCCTTAGGTATGTTATCACGCCCATAAAACTGGGGAGTGACAACAGCCAGAGAGGAAGGGGGTTAGGGGGGTGGGGAGGGGGGAGTAGGAGGAGGGCGAAAATGTAGGAAGGGGAAAAAGAAATCTGAAAGCCGAGGAGGAATTATACAGCGTAAATTGCAGAGAGCACACGCAAGCAGCGCATGTAATCGAATGCAATTCACATGCTGGCTCATTAATCTCACCCGTAGAAGCAGTACAGCAGGAAGTCTCGGTGCACTAGCCCCGTTTTCTTGGGGTCAATATCGAGAATGTCCCCTTGCAACAGCTCTCCCCCATGGCGGTACATCTTGGCCAGCAGGCACAGCTGCAGGCAGTCCGCGTGCTGGGGGGTCAGGTGCTCCGCGCTGCACCGCTGCTGCACCTTGCCTATCGCCCAGTGCAGGGGGAGCACGCCCCTTGCAAACTCAGTGCGAGAAATGAGTAGGTCCCGCAGGCGATGGCACAGGGAGGCGACTGGAGGGGGGAGAAGAAAGGGGGGGAGGGGGGAGAAGAAAGGGGGGGAGGGGGGAGAAGAAAGGGGGGGGAGGGGGGAGAAGAAAGGGGGGGGAGGGGGGAGAAGAAAGGGGGGGGAGGGGGGAGAAGAAAGGGGGGGTGAAAGCGAGGGATTGGGTGGTAGGTACATCTTGGCCAGCAGGCACAGCTGCAGGCAGTCCGCGTGCTGGGGGGTGAGGTGCTCAGGGCTGCACCGCTGCTGCACCGTGCCTATCGCCCACTGCAGGGGGAGGATCGCCCGGGGAGTACTCGCTGCACTGCGGGAACTGACCAATTCGCACAGGCGTCTATTTTTGAGGCGCCTCAAAAATAGACTCCAAGTGGCGCAGGCGATGGCACAGGGACGCGACTGGGAAGGGGAGGAGGGACGAGCAGAAAGGGGGGGATAAGGGGGACAAGGGGGACAAGGGGGACAAGGGGGACAAGGGGGACAAGGGGGACAAGGGGACAAGGGGGACAAGGGGGACAAGGGGGACAAGGGGGACAAGGGGGACAAGGGGGACAAGGGGGACAAGGGGACAAGGGGGACAAGGGGGATAAGGGGGACAAGGGGGATAAGGGGATAAGGGGGATAAGGGGGATAAGGGGGACAAGGGGGATAAGGGGGACAAGGGGGACAAGGGGGACAAGGGGGATAAGGGGGACAAGGGGGATAAGGGGGATAAGGGGGATAAGGGGGATAAGGGGGATAAGGGGGATAAGGGGGATAAGGGGGACGGGAGGACGGATGGGATCAGCGACAAATTGAAGATTCATCCCTGTCTGTGCATCTTGGCTAGCAGGCGAGATTGCCGCCGTTGACAGTCAGTGTGTTGGGGGGTGAGGTGCTCCCTCACCCCCCACAAGAATCCCTCCCCACCCCCCACCCCCCCCCCCTCTCCCTCCTCTCTATGGCGGCGCCAGGGCGAGCTGAGAGGGAGAGGCCACCATGATGAGATTCACGATGGTGTCTGGTGCCTACCACCTGATCCGACAGCTCTCCCTCTCTCTCTTCTCCCCCCTCTCCCCCCTCGCTCCCTCTCTCACGCTCATCTCGTCCCGGTGATTTTCGAGAACCCTCAGAATCCCGTCCCCTCCTTGACAGTTTTCGGGCGCCAGCGCGAGCTGCGTAGTAGAGGCCACTTTTGTGGAGTTGACGATGGTGGTGTGCACCACCTGGTCCGACAGCTCTTCACCGCACTCACGTACACCCTCAAGTTTCTAGTCCGCTTAGAGCTCACACTTCTCTGGCGCCAGCGCGAGCTGCGTAGGAGCGGCCAGTTTGATGAAGTTAATGATGGTGCCCACCACCTGATCGGACAGCTCCCGAGGGGCCTGTGCTGCATGTGCGTCGCTGCGCAGGAGGGGTGCGAGGGAGGGGGTGGAGGACGAGGGAATTTGGCAAGAAAGGAAAGGGACGAGGCGGCGGAAGGGAACAGGGGAGGGCGGGATTGCACGGAGGAACGCTGGGACTGGGGGGTCAGAATCAGGTGCGCGGAGGGGTTGGGGGTGAGGGGTTGGGGGTGAGGGGTTGGGTTGAGGGGTAGGGGGTGAGGGTAGGGGGCGAGGGGTAGGGGGCGAGGGGTAGGGGGTGAGGGGTTGGGGGTGAGGGGTAGGGGGTGAGGGGTAGGGGGTGAGGGGTAGGGGGGTGTGGGGTAGGGGGTGAGGGTAGGAGGTGTGGGTTGGGGGCGAGGGTAGGGGGTGTGGGTTGGGGTTGAGGGGTAGGGGACAAGGAATCAACGATTATTCGATGATTGTCAAACAAAACAACCAATGGCGCGAGAGACGCACTTACAGAAAGAAGCACTCACACGATTTTTGGGAAGCCTGAAAAAATACGCTCACACGAAAAGAGGAAGGCGAGAGAGTGCAAGGCGGGATCCAGAGAAGCAAGAAGCGTGCGAGGCGAATCTGAGCCGGGAATTTCGCCATCGCCTCGTCCGCGCCCCGCAGCACCTCCAGAAGACACCAAGCATTCCCCCGAGCCCCTTTCCCCAGTAAGAACAAAAAGCCTAAAGCACTCACAGGAAGAAGAGGAAGGCGAGCGAGGGCAGCGCGGGATCGAGGGAAGCGAGCAGCGTATCGAGCTGCACTGCGTGTTTCGCCATCGCCTCGTCCGAGCCTAGCAGCACCTCCAGCAGGTGCGATAGGTGCAAAGCCTTCCCCGGTGGCAGATCCCCACCCAATCCTCCCCACACCGCAGCACCCCGACAGAGCGAACCCCGTCCCCTCTAAAGACAGTCCAAGAGCACTCACAGGAAGAAGAGAAACGCGAGAGAGTGCAGCGCGGGATCCAGCGACGCTAGAAGGGTGTCCAACTGCACCGCGTGTTTCGCCATCGCCTCGTCCGCGCCTCGCAGCACCTCCAGCAGGTGCGACAGGTCGCTCGCGCTGCCCGACAGGCCCTGCGCCTGCGTCACTAACTTCTCCAACGCCTCCATAGTAGTCGTTAAACTCTTCGGAACGAGGCTTCGACTTAGAGTTCCTAAGAACGAAGTGTCGACTTACGTTCCTGGAACTAAATGGGAGCTTCGATGAGTGAAGTTCCTGATTACAATCCGAGGAGCTGCGAGTCTGGCCTTTGTTTATTGCTGCCGCAACCTGATGCCTAACGAGTCTGGGCCGCAGATTCCGCTCGCCCTAATGATCCGAGTAGGAGCTTGCGGCTCGGATTTATAGAGAGGTGAAAGAGCCAACAACAGCAGGATTTCATCGGCTGCCATTGTGGTTGCTGCGATAAGAATGCGAATTTGTAACAAGCTCTACAGAAACATAACAACTCGCTTACCTACAACTGACCTACTTTGATTTGAATGAGATAATGATGACTAGAAATTATTATTATTATTAACAAATCATGCATCATTCCTCGGAAGAATCCTTTGTCATTGCAACAGCGACATGGTAACCACCCACTAGAAGGAACGCCCCTATTGATTGATGCATGGTTCGCAGAGCCAGGCCTTTCCAATGGTAGCTCCTGTCCCACCATCGCAAGCCAAACCACCTCTCCCACCACCTCCCATCCTCCGCCTTGGGAAACAATGCTAGTTCCATAGCCACGTGCTGGGTGGACACACACACGCATGGAGGAGCAAAGGGTGGATACACGCAAGTATAGAGAGAAGAAAACAGGGGATACAAGCATAGACAGAACAAGTCAGACCTTGAAAGAGATGGTAAATATAAGCGAGAGAAGGAGGCAAGGTGTAACAAAGAAAGGGAGAATAGATTTTTAGAAAAGGGGATTTACCTTTGGCAAGACGGTGGCTTGAGTGCGAGTCTTGGCACAGTCAAACGGATGTGACACAATCGAAGCCACCGCAGCTGCTGCTGCCGCTTCCAAACTCTGGGTCAACACATACCCATACCCCTCTCTACTCCTCCCCACCACTGCACCCCTTCCCTCTCCCCATCCTACCCCCTCCTCCTCACCCTCCTCTCTCTTCCTCCTCCGAAGCTCCTCCAATTCCCTCAATCCCTCCTCTATAGTCACCCACCCCCCAAAGAACACTGCTCCAAACAGCGCATCTCGTGTCATGCCCGCTCTAAGGCCCCTCCACAGCTGAGCTGCCCCCTCAGCTCTCACTCCAGCCATCGCTGCCTCCCAAGGGGAGGAGGCGGGGAGGTAAGGAGAGGGCACGGGCGTCCAGGGGTATCGCGCAAGGGAGAGGGAGAAGGTGGAGGTTGGATGAGGTGTGGGGGGAGTGGGGGGAGTGTGGGGGGCGTGTGGGAGTGTGGAGAAATGTTTTTGGTAAAGTGCTTTGGTGGCAGGGGTGGCGGGAGAAGCAGGGCATTTGCCAGCAGTGGAAGGAGGATGGGTGGCAAGAACAGTAGCAGCAGTGCTAGAGCCACTGACAATACCACTACCATCAGTGGCAGCAGCAGCAGCAGCAGAAGCAGAGAAGAGGGTGCGCTTGTGAGATGGCAGATGAGGGCGAGAGGAGTGAGAGAGGGCTTGTCGTTGCGCGAGGTGACGAGGCAGCTTGTGCCGCGGACTAGAGGCCTTGCCTGAAGACTTGGACGCAGAGGTCTGACTGGGCGAGGTACGAGTGGGGGAGGTGTGACTAGGTCGGGTGTTTCCTGGTGCACGGACTGGCTCAGATGGAGATTGGGGGCGGTGGATGCGGATGGAGGGGCGAGGGAGGGCGATGGGGTGGGAGAGAGCGACAGGTGGCAGCAAGGGAGTGGCCAGCAGCAGGCGCGTTCTGACCAGGTCGAAGGGCGTGGAGAGCAAGGACTCGGTAACTCCGCCAACGGCGCCTGCTGCCGCTGCCTGAGGGGGGGAGATGGGCAGCCACGGGGGCAGACCGTCTGGGTTGGAAACAGGGGAGGGGGAAGGGCAGGGAAGGGAGAATGGCAGGAGAGATAGGGAGCAAAGGATGTGAAAAGGAGAGGTTGAAGGGAGCATTGGGCGACGGCAAAAGCTGAAAGGTCAGAAGGAGCATCTCACCCATTTGGTAAGCGGCGGCGAGGTGGTAGGTAGTATAGCGGGCAGCGAGGGATGGCAGGTGACCAGCTAGGTGTGGTGAGAACCCGATGAACGAGGCTGGCAGGCAGAGGGGAAAGAGCAGAGGGAGAGAATGGCACTGTGTGGAGCTCTCTGAATGGCTACGTTCTCCCTCGGGGGTCTATTACATCCGTTTGTGTTCATTGACAGCAGCAGTTTGCGTGATAAAAACGGAAATGTAATAACGGGGAAGGGGGAAGAGGAAGGGAGAGGAGGGAGGAGCGGGAGGGGGAGCGGGAGGGGGTGGGAGGAAGGGGGGGAGGGATGGGGGAAAAGGGACAATTGGAGGGACTAGGGGGACTTGGGATATGGCGGGTTTGACTACCTTTATTTCTCCAGCTCAGGCCGCTGGTAGCAGCTGCGCGTGATGCTGCTGTCCCGCTCCCTGCCATTCCACCAGGCCCTCCTCCCACTGTCATCCCACTACCCTGCACGGCGCCTGCTTGTGCGACAACTGCCTGTGCGACACCCGCATGTGCGACGCCTGCCTGAGCGACGGCCTTGGCGACATCGAGGGGGTATGTCACGGCGCTCGCCACTACGGCTGCAGCTGCTCCTGCCGCCACGTGTCGGTAAAAGAGAGGCGATCTAGATTCGCCGTCCATGGCGGAAGAACCAAATCTGCGAGATAGCGTTGTCGGCGTTCTTGGGGCCTACCGGATAGCTGGAGGCTATCAACTCAGGTTTAAGAGCATTTTACGCTGCCTCGCGAATCTCAACCTACCGCCACCGAGACACGGCAAGCACTGGGCACGCTGATCAGGTCCCTTCCGATTTGCTTCTTGCTGAAAGCTGAATGGCGATCGCCAGCACTCCTAGCGCCGCCTACGCGTGCGTCATCAGCGCTTGCGCTGTCTCAATGATCGCTCGGCAGCCGCGATCTGTGAGGAGTCTAATTTTGATCGCTCAATGATCGCTCGTCATTGAGCGCTCGGCAGCCGCGATCGCTAAAAATAGACTCCTCGTCTCAATGATCGCTCGGCAGCCGCGATCTCGTTTCGCCGCCGCCAGCGCTGCGGCGTCGCTGGTGGTGAAGCCGACTCGCTTGTCACAGGCTCGCAGCCCAGGCCAAGCTCTGGCTGTCTATCCCGGTGAGATCACTTGCTGGCAGGGAAAGTGGTACAGCAGAGCTAAGGAGAACGAAGGGCTTTGGTTGGGTTGGAAGTGGTGCTAGATTTTTGTACTCGCAAAGAGGAACCCTCGATTCCAGGTACCTCCTGCAGTGAAATCAAATGGGGTCTATCCATATAATATGGCTTCCAAATTACAAATCCTCCCCCTCCCCTCCCCTCCCCACCAACAATAGCAATTTGCTTGGAAAGCTGCGAGGCCACCATACCAGCGCTTGATCAGTCAGTGCGACCTGGCACACCCCATCGGTTTAGCTTCCGCCTTGCCAGAAATCCTCTGGCAAATCTCCACGGTGCAACTCGCTATGGCTGAAAGCGCGCTGCTGGCCAGGCCACCCGTCAAAATCTCCTTATGGAGAGCCCTCCCCCCAGTCCATATCTCCCGTTCTGCCTGCTCATCTCCGCCTCGCACATTGCCGTCCAGGATTCCAATCTCCGCGTCCGCAGCAAGTACTCGACATGACTCTCCGCACTCGTCTCTCTTGAACCGGCCTGGATTTTCACAGCCTGGAAGCACCCCGAGGGGCACCCGCTTCTCTCGATTGTCACTCGTCGGTCGAGCACCTGAGCGGAGACGCGGCGAATTCGTCGTTCCCCGCGCGTTTCCCCTCCCCCTTGATCCCTGCCTTCCCGCGGATCCCTTGTCGCCCGGCTTGTTGGGATTCGCTGCTGACGCTCCGAGTCTAGCAGCAACCCTCTCTCATCTGCTTTTCGTGGACCCCTGGTCGCCCAACGTCGACTCGCAGAGCATCGCGTCGTCGCTCTTCGCCGTCTCGCTCTTCCCCTACCTCGGATTTCTCTACTTCCTCACGCGGTCGGGGACAGCGCCGCGCATCACGCTGTTCGGGTTCTACTTCCTGCTCGCATTCGTCGGCGCCACCAGTGAGTACCAGGCGCGCTGCTAGGAGGGCTGTAGCAGGAGTGCTGCTAGGAGGGCTGAAGCAGGAGCGCTGCTAGGAGTGCTGTAGCAGGCGCGCTGCTAGGAGGGCTGTAGCAGGCGCGCTGCTAGGAGAGCTGTAGCAGGAGCGCTGCTAGGAGGGCTGTAGCAGGCGCACTGCTGCTAGGAGGGCTGCAGCAGGCGCGCTGCTGGAAGAGCTGTAGCAGGCGCACTGCTAGGAGAGCTGTAGCATCCGCGCTGCTGCTAGGAGGGCTGTAGCAGGCGCGCTTCTAAGAGAGCTGTAGCAGGCGCGCTGCTAGGAGAGCTGTAGCAGGCGCGCTGCTAGGAGAGCTGTCGCACGCGTGCTGTTCTCGTTTCTGTCTACCGCCGTGCTGTCCGTGCAGCATTCGGTTCTACTTGCTGCTCGCATCCGTCGGCGCCACCAGTGAGTGATACCTTTGTCAATGTCACGAGTTAATGTGATGGTAGGAGCTGTGAAAGTATGTTCGTTGACTTTCCACATTCCATCTTAATGCCTGACAGCACCATTTCGACTTTTCCGCATGTGGAACTCATATATATCTCCCTCCCCCTTCCATGCCCCCCCCCCCCCCGCCTTTCTTTCTTTCTCCTCCATCAATCTTCACTCCCCACACATTACCCCCTTTTTTCCCTGCTGCTTCACTACGTCCCTCCCCCACCTCACCCTCCTCATGCCTCCCCCACCCCCCCGGATTCCAACATTTTCCTTATCGACTCCACGTTGGGGCCGTTTTCTGTCCAATGACAGTTCCTGCCGGAATATATGGTGAGCTGCTTCACACTCTGCATGGTTCCGCGCCTTGGAGCTGTTGCTTCCCATGCCTCGGGTATCTCAGCTACTTTGTCAGCAGTCGCACTTAATGTGCATTGAATCTCTAACCGTGCTTCAATGGGCTAGTAGTGGACGTGGTCTTCCTCGTTTCTCTGCATCCAACACAATATAATCACCCCTGCTTTCTCATCCTCATCCTGTCACACTAGTTTTCACGTATGTTCTGATGTTTAAAATGCTTACTTCCCTGGCCCATTTTCTGTGCCTCTTCATTTTGTGTTTGCCCTTGTTCCATCCAGCCAAAATACACTACGGGACATCGCTCTCAAATGTGGACTATCTGCACGGCAGCGCTGAGTCCCTGCTTACAGTCACAAACCTGCTTATTGTGTTTGGCTTGCGCAAGGCGCTCAGAGATGAGGAGGCAAGTGAAGGTGCAGTAGGCGATTCTCTTACATCAGTTTCTAGTGAGCGTGCGGTTGCGAAGGAGAACAGAGGGGCAACTGCTGACGAGGTAGAGTGACCCGTATCTCTTCATCAGTATGTAGTTCCCCTTTTCCGTGTAGTGCACGTTTGTTTTATTTAGTAAACCGGAGAATGGAAGAAAGCATTATTCTTCTACCCGATTAGTCTGTGGTCACGTTGATGGCATGGCACTCTTAACAACAGCTAATTTTCCCCCACTTTCTAAGTAGGCTAGGGCGAGAGGGTGAAAGTAAGAACTGAATAAATGAACTAGAAGAAGAAACCTAGAACAAATACTAGTTGGTTGTACTCACTAGAAGCACACCCCAGTCTAGCCTATAACTTCTACATAGCTAATATGTATAAGTTGACACACCCCCTAGGCTAGACAAGGGGTGAAGCTAAGCAAGAAGCAAACAGCTCAAGGTGGCACTACTAGTCCAACCACTGAGGCAGGGGTCTGGAGACCAGTCAGCAAGAGTACAAACAAGACTAAAGCAAGCCAGGGCGGCACTACTAGTCCAGCCACTGGACGTAAGGCCACAAGGCCAGTCTGACAGGTATATATAATAGAGAGTACACAATCAGGATCCTAACAGCTGAGTAGCTACAGGAACAAGACCAAGCTGTACACAATACCGCTGATGATCTTTAGGCACAAGCGCTTTAGTAAAGATATCAGCTGTGTTGGCACCTGAGGCCAAGTGAACTACGCGGGCCTGACGGCGCTGCTGTAACTCGCGCAGGAGGAAGTACCGCAGCTGGATATGCTTCGCTCTGCCCTCAAGCCGAGGCTCCTGACACATGAGTATCATGGCCCTGTTATCAGCGTACAGGACCGGGGCAGAGCTAGGCCGCTCACCTAAGTCTGTGAGCAAGAAGGTCAGCCAGCGGAGCTCCTGTGCCGCCATGGCACCAGCGTAGATCTCAGCCTCACAGCTGGACTGAGCCACAGACGACGAGCGAGTGGATCTCCAAGAGATAGCACCCGAACCAAGACTAAAACAGTAGCCCTGCGACGACCTGAGCGTCTCAGAGTCGTCTGCCCAAGAAACGTCTGTGTGCCCAGTAAGGACCACTGGACTGCGTCCTCCTAGCACTAACCCCATGCCGGATGTACTAGCAAGATAACGCAAAACCCTCTTAGCGGCAGACCAGTGCTGAGGTCGGTGTCTGCCTGTAGCCCCAAAGCGAGCCAGGATGCTGAGAGGGTATACGAGATCTGGGCGAGTGCAAGTCATCAGGTACATGAGGCAACCCACCAGCTCTGCGTAGGGGCCACTGGGTTCTACTGGCTCCTCAGGAACAGGAGCGGAGAGCCCATGGTCTACAGGTAGAGGTGTGGGCTGTGCGGAGGAGAACTGAAGACCGAACCTCTGAAGGACCTGACGCACCAAGTGTGACTGTGTCAGAGTGATGGTGCATGCTGCTCTGTCCCTAGAGATCTGCAGGCCAAGATAGCAACGCAGCTCTCCAAGGTCAGTGCAGGTGTGTCTCTTCAGCAGCTCGGCCTTCACAGAGGCCAGTGCGTCCCTGTCAGCAGTAGCGAAGACCAGGTCGTCTACGTAGACAAGGATGTAAAACGGAGTCTGGCCGGAACGCACAAACATTGAGGGGTCAGCAGAGGACGGAAAGAACTGCATGTCTGCTAACGTGGCACGCAGCGTGTCGTGCCACTCGCGGGGAGCCTGACGCAGGCCGTAGACCGGGCGCCTGAGAAGCCACTAGGTCCCAGGGGGGAAGGTACCAGTGAAGCCCTGTGGTCAGCGCAGGTAGACCTGCTCGTGTAGGCTGCCCTGAAGAAAGGCAGTAGAGAAGTCGAGGGAGTGAAGCTCGTAGTCGCGCTGTGCTGCTACGTGTAGCAGCGCTCGAAGAGTGGTCATCTTCGGGGTCGGGGCGAAGGTCTGGAAGAAGTCAACCCCCTCGCGCTGACTGAAGCCTCTGGCCACGTAGCGCGCCTTGAAGACAGGCGGCTCTCCAGGGGGGCGCTTCACCTTGAAGAGCCACTGACCATCAACTACGTTCACCCCAGGGGGGAGAATTGCGTCGACGTAAGTGCTGGTGGACCTCCAAGATGCCATCTCCTGCTCCATGGCAGCTATCCACTGAGAGTTCCAAGGTCCCGAGGTGGCCTCAGCGTAGGTGCGAGGGGTCGGGATGTCGAAGGCGTCTGGTCACCCTCAGGGACGAGCAGCATGGAGCAGAGATGGGGAGCAGCCTCGGAAAGGAAAGCAAGCTCGTAGTGCCGGTCCTCTAGGACGTCACTGCCAAGGGTAGGAACACCCCCGACGGACGGAGGACGGGCAGGGTCAGAGACTAGAGCGGTAGCGTAGTCAAGGCGGCGGGTGGAGGCGAAGTCAGCGACAGCAGCGACAAGCGCATCAAGGCGCAAAACAGGAACAGAAGGGTCTGTAACAAGAGAGGCAAGGACTCGAGGGACAAAGGGACGAGCGGCACAAAGGAAGTCACAGAACGGAGGAGGTGCAACAGCTAGGGACGAGGGAGGAGGGGACGGGAGGAGGGGAGGACGAGACGAGCGGGAATGGAGCAGCATAGGGTGGGAGCGCAGGACAGGAGAGACGGGACGAGCACGGGAGGGACGGCGAGACCAAACGTGGGACGGAGGTGTAGGGTCAGGGGACAGCGGAGGGGACACTGGAGGGGAACAAGGAGGAAGACGGGTCGAGGACGAGTCTGGCGGCGGGAATACAGGACTGTAGACAGGAAGGTCAGCAGGCAGTGGGGGAGACACCGGCGATTGGTCCGGGGAGGGAAGGCCGAGCAGGCGGAGAGCGGAGACCGGCGGCGATGGCTGCTGTGGCTGCTGCGACGGCTGGGCCGGAACCCTCGGGCCGGCAGAGGCAGGACGACCGTCGGCGGAACCCTCAACAGCAGCAACCTCAGAACCAACACCCCTAGAGCGAGAACCCCCTCCAACACCGGCGGCACCCCCAGGAGCCGCATGACGAACACCCTCCTCCACACCGGCACCCCCGGGGGCCAAGAGCGGCGGCGACGGCAGCGGCGGCGGCAGCAGCGGCGACGGCAGTGGCGGCTGCGGCGGAGGCGGCGACTGCGACTGTGGAGGCGAAGACACCAGGGAAGGGGGATGCGGCAAGGACGGGCTGGGGGTACCACCAGAGTCAGCGGACTCCTCAACGGGGACAACCGACGGGAGGGGAGTGACGTGAGAGACACCAGACGGGGCAGGGCGAGGCGGGAGAGGAGCAGGGGCTACTAGGGGAGAGGGAGCAAGGAACAGAGGCGGGGCAACCGGGAGACCGCGGTGAGGGAAGCGGCGGTAGAAGGAGACAGACTCGTCAAAGGTGACGTCACGAGAGTGGAGGAAGCGGTGAGACGGCGGGTGGTAGAAAAGCCAGTCAGACGAGTCCAGGGGGAAACCGAGGAAGACATAGGGGACAGTGCGGGCACTAAGCTTGTCCGTGCCAGAGCCACGAACGTGAGCAAGGCAGCCCCACACGTGGAATGCAGACGCGTCACCCGGGGACCTGGTCCAAAGGAGGGTCGGCGAAACCTGCGGCCGCTGTGAGCGTGGCCACAAGTTAAGCTGGTGAGCAGCGTAGCGAACAGCGAACGGCCTCAGAAAATGGGGGGCATCGGCATGAATCAAGGAGGTACGGGCGACCTCCATGACCAAGTCGATGCGGCGCTCAGCAACCCCATTCTGCTGTGGCGAGTCCGGCAAGGTGTACGACTGGGTGATGCCCTCCGCACGACAGAACTGTCCAAGCCGACCAGAGGCAAACTCGCCGCCACGGTCAGAGTGGAGACACAACACGGGGAGACCACGGTGAAGACGCGCAGCCACAACCCACGGGAGAAGAACGTCGGGCACGTCAGCCTTCCGCTCCAGGGGAAACACCGTGGTGTAGCGCGTGTAGTCGTCGACGAGCACAAGGAAGTAGCGCTCACCTCGCGGTCCGGGGACGGGGGCAGAACCGCAAACGTCCAGGTGCAGGGCCTGAAGGGGGGCAGTAGCAGGACGCAGCGAGGAGGAGTGAGGAGCACGGCGGAGTCGGCCCTCGACACAAGGCGTGCACGGTGGCGCAGTCGAGGGAGGAAGGGCAGGGAGCGACGCTGGGAGATCTAAGACAAGACCGTGCTGGGACATGTGACGCAGACGTGGGAGAGCAGGGTGACCTAGGCGGTGGTGCCAGAGAAGGGACGGGTGAGTGAGGGACCGACACGAGCAAGCTGCAGCGATCTGGGAGGACGCACCAACTGGGGGGGAAGCGGTGTCGAGGGTAAACAGACCGGACACCGGGTCCCGGGGGAACGTCGCGAGGGGGGAACCTGACACAGCCTCAGAACAGATAGCGAACCGCTTGTGCCCGGGGAACGTGGTGGTGACGCCGAGGTCCTGGAGGCAGCTGACACCAACTAGGTTCTTCGAGAACGAGGGAACGTGGAGGCCTGTAAGGGAGCCCGAGGGAACTGCTGGACAGGGAAGGGAGGTGGAGCTGCGAGCGACGACAGGACCTGCAGAGGGGTCAGCTAGAGAGACAACAGCAGGCGTAGCAAGCGGCGTGAGCGCGGAACGGTCGCGGAAGAAGCAGGCAGAAGCACCGGAGTCGAGAGTGAAGGACAGCGAAGTAGTGGCGGAGGTCGGGAACGGAGCCGGTGCAGAGACTAGGCTAGGCAAACTAGGCAGTCCTACGCCTGACGCAGCAGGGGAGGCTAAGCTACACAACGGTGCAACACCTAAACTAGAGTACACAGGGTAATAAGATCCAGTAACTCTAGAAGCGTCAGAATACAAGGCATGCAAAGCAGCACCTATCTGATCCATGTCTAACTCAAAGATCGGCACGCCCTGGCGGAGCAGGCTGTGCCAGTCGGGGAGGTCCGGGGCCGGGCCAAAGCGACGACGAAAGAGATCGTCGAGGCGGCGGAAACAGTGGGCAGTCGAGTGCGGGCGGCGGCACAGAGTGCCGCGAAGAGGTCCGGTCTGAAGCTGGTACTGGCAAGTGACAGCACCGGAGCCGCTGGTAGACACCGAGCTGTGCGGGCCGCCACCACGGCCACTACCTCCGGAGGTGCTTGGTCAACCAGGCGGGAGACAGGCCCACGGCTGCGGCGACTGCTGCTGGGACGGCGGCTACTGCTGGGGCTGCTCCTGCTGCGGCAGGGGCTGCTACTCCTGCCCACTGGTGGGAGTCCCCTCAGGCGGACTACCGTCACCACCACC